ATTGAGTTCAAGGCCAGCCTGGTCTACATAGCAAGTGCCAGGCCAGCTGGGGCTACAGGGAGACCCTGTCTTGAGAAGACAATGAGGGAGGGAGGGAGGGAGGGAACTGGGGCAGGGGGGAGGGAAGGAGGGAGGAAATTTTTTAGGAAGGAAAAATTTATTCAAAACAAAACAGGTAGAATGAGGTAGATATTCCCAAATATTGGATTGAGATAAAGTAGGAACACTGAAAACCTAAGAGTCCACAAAAGTGTGGAAACTGAGGCCTGAGGAAGAAACAGGACTGCCAAATCTGGAAGTTGTTTTCTTCTTCTGACTGCTGGTTCCGTTTCTCTCCCATCTAGGACAACAACGCATGAAGTACTATGAATTGATTGTCAATGGCTCCTACACCCCTCAGACTGTGCCCACCGGTGGCAAGGCCCTTAGTGAGAAGTTCCAAGGTTCTGGTACAGCCCCTGAGATGGTGAGAAGCTTGTGGGTGCCATAGTGTTAGGCTCATGGACAGTGCCTAGCCATCAGAAGCAGGAGTCGTTCCTGGGAAGGTCCTAGATGTCACTGTTAAATATAGGAAGAGCTGAGAAAAGATGCCTAGATGTTTTCAGAAAACAGGAACCAAGAGTCTTGGGTTAGGGCAGGACAAATTTCCAAATAATGCATGATCTCTTTTCTTTTTCCCTTGTCTCACTCTCCAGGCTGAAGCCCGCCGGCGCTCTTCCTCTGACACAGCTACGTACCCAGCAGGCACTGCTGTGGTGGGCACCCCTGGCAATGGCACTCCCTGCTCCCAAGATACAAATTTCTCCAGCAGTCGACAAGACACCCCATCTTCCTTTGGCCAGTTCACCCCTCAATCCTCCCAAGGAACCCCCTACACGTCTCGGGGTAGCACCCCCTACTCTCAGGACTCTGCCTACTCCAGCAGGTACAGCGTACACCCCATCTCTGGCCCTAGCCATCTGATTCCAGGAGCTGTGACTAGGAAGAAAGACCCCAGAGTCTCTGAGAAGGAGTTGGAAACCATTTGTTTTAGTCTATATTTGCTGCCATCAGGGACAGTAACTTGGAACCTAACCTTTAGTTGTTTTGGAGGCATGTAGAGAGGCTTTGAGTATGTGAAACAGTCAGGTTTGCTTGCATAGAGATGAGCCTAGCTAAAGCTTCCTTTTCTTCTCCAGCACCACTTCAACCTCCTTTAAACCCCGGCGGTCAGAGAACAGCTATCAAGATTCCTTTTCTCGCCGCCATTTCTCTGCATCTTCAGCTCCTACAACCACCTCTACTGCCATCTCAGCCACCACTGCAGCCACTGCTGCCTCCTCCTCTTCTTCATTGTCCTCATCTTCCTCATCGTCCTCTTCCTCAGCCACTCAATTTCGTGGTTCTGACTCCAGCTACCCAGCATATTATGAAAGCTGGAATCGATACCAGCGCCATACTTCCTACCCACCCCGCCGGGCAACTAGGGAGGATCCTCCTGGGGCCCCTTTTGCTGAAAATACAGCTGAGCGCTTCCCACCTTCCTATACCTCCTATTTGCCCCCTGAGCCCAACCGATCCACTGACCAAGACTACCGGCCTCCTGCCTCAGAGGCCCCACCTCCAGAGCCTCCAGAACCTGGTGGAGGTGGTGGGGCACCCAGCCCTGAGAGAGAAGAAACTCGGACTTCCCCCCGCCCAGCCTCACCTGCCCGTTCTGGCTCCCCAGCCCCAGAGACCACCAATGAGAGTGTACCCTTTGCTCAACATAGCAGCTTGGATTCCCGCATTGAAATGCTGCTGAAGGAACAGCGCTCCAAATTTTCTTTCCTGGCTTCTGACACGGAGGAAGAGGAGGAAGAGAACAACAGTGCCGGCCCTGTGGCTAGAGATGCAGGGATTGAGGTGCCTTCTGGATCAGGTCATGGGCCTTGTACACCCCCTCCAGCCCCAGCTAATTTTGAAGATGTAGCACCTGCAGGGAGTGGAGAACCAGGGGCTACCCAGGAGTCCCCAAAGGCCAACGGACAGAGCCAGGTGAGTCTGGGGCCAGCCATGGGCGCTCCCTGGGGCCTGGGAAGCAGGGTTATAGCCAGGGGAGAGGGAAGGTACCTACACAAGAAAACAAGTTTGAGAGAAAGCTCAGGGGACACTAGCAGGAGTTGTCTGTGACCCTCCTCTGCACCCCACAGGCTTCTCCATGTTCTTCCGGAGAGGACATGGAGATCTCCGATGATGACAGGGGTGGTTCACCCCCTCCAGCCCCAACGCCCCCCCAGCAGCCTCCTCCGCCACCACCACCACCTCCTCCCCCTCCCCCTCCCTACCTTGCTTCCCTTCCCCTTGGTTATCCTCCCCACCAACCTGCCTACCTCCTCCCACCACGCCCTGATGGGCCACCCCCACCTGAGTATCCCCCACCTCCTCCTCCACCCCCCCCCCACATATATGATTTTGTGAACTCCCTGGAACTTATGGATCGACTTGGGGCACAGTGGGGAGGGATGCCCATGTCCTTCCAGATGCAAACCCAGATGTTAACTCGGCTCCACCAGCTGCGACAGGGGAAGGGATTGACTGCTGCTTCAGCTGGCCCTCCAGGAGGGGCCTTTGGCGAGGCCTTCCTCCCTTTCCCACCCCCACAAGAGGCAGCCTATGGCTTGCCCTATGCTCTGTATACACAAGGGCAAGAAGGCCGTGGGGCATATTCCCGGGAGGCCTACCATCTGCCCTTGCCCATGGCAGCCGAGCCCCTGCCCTCCTCCTCAGTCTTGGGAGAAGAGGCCCGGCTACCTCATAGGGAGGAAACTGAGCTGGCAGAAGGCAAGGCCCTACCATCAGCAGGCACTGTGGGCCGTGTGCTGGCCACCCTAGTCCAAGAAATGAAGAGTATCATGCAGCGAGACCTCAACCGCAAGATGGTGGAGAATGTGGCCTTTGGAGCCTTTGACCAGTGGTGGGAGAGCAAGGAAGAAAAGGCCAAGGTGAGGTGGTCTAGTGCTAAGGAATGGGAGACTTGGTTCTTGTGTCGAAGGAGGCAGGCCTCTGACTTACCCAGGTTGCCCCATTCTAAACAGGGATAAGAGAATATCAAGTCAAGTAAAGAATAAGGCTGTGGGTACTGTGGGCTTGGGAGAGAGAGGCACAGCAAAAGGTAACAGTGTCAGAAGAGCTTTGTCCTGGCTCCACTGCCTTGCTTGCAGGAGATAAGACCCGTACGTGTTTCTGAGTTTGTCCTCAGTTCCACCAATTAAAAAAGCAGTAACTTTGCAGATTGGCTAAATGATCAGACTTGAGAAACATGCTATGAGGGACTGGTAGAGATGGTGTCAGTACTGTCCTGTCTTCCCGGGGCCTCCTGTTGCTTCTTGGGCAGGAGGGAACGCCTGGGGTCTGGATTCTGCAGCTCAGTCCCCTACTACCTACAGCCATTCCAGAATGCGGCCAAACAGCAAGCCAAGGAGGAGGATAAAGAGAAGATGAAGCTCAAAGAACCAGGCATGCTGTCCCTTGTTGACTGGGCCAAGAGTGGTGGTACCACAGGCATCGAGGCCTTTGCCTTTGGGTCAGGCCTGCGAGGGGCCCTGCGGTTGCCTTCATTCAAGGTATCCATGAATATGGTGGTGGCAAATGTTTCCTTGGGGAAATGGTGGTTAGAGATGGTGGAGGGAGTGGTGATAGTGGTTGAATTTTTTTTTTCTTCTCTCTCCTGTGATTGAGTTCTAAATGGGCCACATCTCTTCTGAATCTGTCAGGTCAAACGGAAAGAACCATCTGAAATTTCAGAGGCCAGTGAGGAAAAGAGGCCTCGGCCCTCCACTCCAGCTGAAGAAGATGAAGATGGTGAGTGGGAGGAAATCAGGCAGAAGAAGAAAGCAGTGATCTACTTCAAGTTTGATAGCAAGCAAGAGACAGGATGAAGGGGTCAGAGTGTCTTTGAGGGCAAGGCACCAAGTGGAGAGCTTGGTATAAGGCTAAAGTGAAAAAGGAATTCCGAGAGGCGTCAGATAGGCCTCTCGCTGGAATCAGAACTTCAAGGGCTCATCTACCCAAGTGCTTTTGTTCCACAACCTTCCTAGTTTGTTAGAGTCTGAGCTGTTGACAGCCTACAATGACTTGAAACTTCTTTGTTTGGTTTTTTTGTTTGTTTGTTTGTTTTGGAACAGGGTCTCCTTGTAGCCCCAGCTGGCCTGGAGCTCACTATATAGACCAGGGTGGCCTTGAACTCACAGAGATCCACCTGCCTCTGCCTCTTGAGTGCTGGGATTAAAAGCAACTTGAAATTTCTTTGATAAGTCTGCTTCCCTGAGAACCCTCTGACCTTAGTACTCTTTTGGGAGACCAGATATGATAAATTGGCTCCTTCTTTCATCCAGCTTAGAAAAAGAATGAAAGATAAAATGAGTGAGATGTATTTCAAACTGTAGCATGTTAGTGTGTTCCAGTTCTGTATCGAGTTTTGGCTTTTCCTGTCTGTAAATCTGGCCTGTCAGTAAAGTGGGCAAAAGTATGTATAAAACTCTGCACGTGGGGCAGGGGAGCAGTACCTTTTTGTTGGTAGAACTGCTCTGTCCTCCTGTTGCAGATCCTGAGCGAGAGAAGGAAAGTGGGGAGCCAGGGCGTCCAGGGACCAAGCCCCCAAAGCGAGATGAAGAACGAGGCAAGACCCAAGGCAAGCACCAGAAGTCCTTTGCTCTGGACAGTGAAGGGGAGGAGGCATCCCAGGAATCCTCCTCAGAGAAGGTAAGGGGCTCAGTGCCCAGTGTCTGTAAGAAGTCTTTTCTGAACTCCTTTTACCCTAACCAGCTTCTCACTGGGCTGGAGCCCAGGCAGCAATGATGTCTTATGGATATCACTTGTCCCTTTTCTGGTAGTCTCCATTTGTCCTTTTCTTTAAGGATGAGGAGGATGAAGAAGATGACGAAGATGAAGATGAAGAAGCTATGGATTCCTCCAAGAAGGAGGCAGAGGCATCAGATGGTAAGTGTAGACAGTTGAATAGAGTTCTGGTTTGGGGAGGAAGAGATTAGACCACCTGGTTTGTCTTTTCCTGAATTCATATAACCTTGCTACCTGGATTTCTGGTCACTCTTGCCCTTTCTAGTGACAGCTGTTTCAGTGACATTTTTTGGAATCCTGGCTCCCTTGGGAGCATTAACCCCATCACTTAGAATGCTCTCTCTGCTGAAACAATTCTCCGCTCTGGACAGCTTAGCAAAGTCTTTTCCTGTATCCTAGAGGTAAAGAGTATGCACTCCCTTCCTGCCCCTTGATGCTGCCAGACTGGACCCTTCCACCTTCATGGGGTTCCTTCCTTACTCCTGCCTTTACCAGACACTTCCATCTACCCATAGACCTGTTGGCTCCCATGTCTACTTGTGTTGTGGATTCATTGTTTAGTTGTCTTCTCCATTCAGAAATACTGTTGAAGGGCTGGAGAAATGTTTGTTAGTGAATAAGAGCACTGGCTACTCTTGCAGAGGACCTGGGTTTGGTTCCCAGCATGTGCATGGTGGCTAACAACTGCCCATAACTCCAGTTCGAGGGAGTCCAACATAATATATCCTTTTTTTCTTTTTCTTTCTTTTATTTTTTTTTTTGTAGCCCCAGCGGTCCTGGAACTTGCTATGTACACCAGGCTGGCCTTGAACTCACAGAGATCCACCTGCCTCTGCCTTCCAAGTGCTGGGGCTAAAGGTGTGTGCCACCATGCCCGGCTCCAACACATTCTTCTTACCTCTACAGGCATGTGGTACACACACATACCCTCAGACACAGACACAATTATTTTTTTTTAATGAGATATGTGTTGAACTCTTTCAGGCAGGTGCTGTTTTTAAGAATTTTAAGGCATAGCCTTGATCAAGACAGATGTGATTCCCTGCTGTGGAGAAGTTGAGGGAGACAGAGGCTTGATGAGTGAACAAGTCCTGCCATTTTGGACAGAGATTAGTCTTTGAGAGTCTGAGGAAGGTGAGATAGAGTGAGAGGTGCAGTAAAACAGAAGCCCCGAGGAAAGACCCACTACATAGTGTTTTCTGCATAGTGATCAAGGAGTACTTGAAGTACTGTAGAGTGGGGGCTGGAGATGGCAGCAGTGATAACCCGAGGCCCCGTCACTAAGGTGGGGGGCTAAGCTATCTGCTAAGAATGAGGACTGCTCATCCTGGGTGTCCTTTGGTTCCCTTCCATCAGTTGTATCATCTGCTTGCTTCTTGAATTTGTCTCCTTTGGGCCTGCTGCTGCTTTCTCATGTAGGTTCTTAACAGTCTTCCAGTCCTCCCATACCCCCAACTGAGGGTTCTCTAGCCTAGGCTGGCCTCAAACTCCATATGTAACCAAGGATGACTATGAATTTCTGATCCTTCTATCTTTGCCTAAGGCGTGTTCAAATTACAGGTAGGCATGTGCCACTGTGCCCAGTTTATGCAGTGCTGGCAGTCAAACCCGTGTTAGACGATCACTCTCCCAACTGACCTACACCCCAGCTCCCTGGCTGTAGAGTTGACTTATTTCTATCCCTCTTCCTCCACTACAGTCCATTTTCCAAACTGCTATTAGAATTATCTTTCCTAAAATGTACATTAACCTTCTTTCCACAAAGTCTTTCCTCGGCTCCTTATTTTCTGCAAAGTGACTCTATCCTGATACTGAATGCTGTTTGTATAATCTAGCATCTGCCCTTATGTTCTGTTCAGCTCTGTCTCACCATGCTACAGTCTCTCCCCAGCCACTACCACCTTCTAATCACCTTCTAATTTACTCAGTTATGGAATTCTTAAATTTATCCATCCCCCCCCCCCAAATTATAAGCATTTGCCAACAGGACAGAACTTCTTGGATTTCTTAGTGCTCTCCCCTGCTTTAGTGATCTATGCATACGGAGCACACAGTGCTTGGGGGCTATGCCGTGTTCCACGTGTATGGAGGTCAAAGGACAACTTGTGGGAGTCACTTATCTCCTTCTCCCATGTGGGTCCCAGGGATTGAACTCAGGTCATCAGGCTTGGCAGCAGGTGCCTGCTGAGTCATTTTTTTGGCCTCTAGTTTTATTTTTTGAGGCAGGGTCTCATGTAGCCCAGGCTGGCCTCCAATCCACTATGTAATCGATGACCTTGAATTTCTGATCCTTCCACTTCCACCTTCAGGAGGTGTTGGTTTTTCCAGGCATGTACCACCATAACTGTTCTTAGGGCTTTTTATTTTAATACATTTTATTATTGAGTATACAAAGTGGGTTTTAGCCGGATACACATCTTTAATCCCCTGTGTGTTCAAGGCCAGTTGGGGCTCCAGGGAGACCCTTTCTCAAGAAGATTAAAAGAGAAAGTAGGGGTTTCATTGTGACACTCATACATTTATGTCATTGTGCATTACTATTCGTTTGTCGTCCCCCCACCTTGCTAGTAGCCTTTCTTTCCCAAATGGGCCCTCCTTCTGCTTCCATGTCACATATGTGCGTTACTCTATTGTTCTTCCCTCTCTTTAGACATCTCTGCCCACCCCCACCTCACCCATGTCGGCTTTACTTTCTACTTTCAGCGCATGTAATGTTTACTCATTCCAGAATTCTTCCTCAGACTCAGTCTTTTATATTATCCTTATGGACCCTGTGCTGGTCTAAGTAAACTGCTTGCCAGTCTCCAGGTCTCTCCTTGTTTTGACCTTCCTGCTTAGTCTCCATTTCTGTGTGGTGGCGACTCCTTATCCTTCTTGATTTCAGCATCTCCTTCTTAGGGAGACCTTCCCTGACTTTTATCTTCCAAGCAGAATCCAGGGCTCCCATCACTGTGTTCTCCATTCCCTTATACTGGTGTTTGTCACCTGTGAATAGATATTTGCTCATCCGACTTCTTGACTGACATCTTGGACTTCCAGAATCTGGCCTAGAGCCTGACACCCAGAATATTTACTCAGTGAATGGTCCCTCAGCTTGACCAAGTGAGGGTCTTCTCGCCTCCCCTGACTGCTCCTTCTGGATTTCCAGGTGAGGATGAGGAAAGCGATTCGTCTTCCAAATGTTCTCTGTATGCTGACTCAGATGGTGAAAACGGTAGTACGTCGGACTCCGAGAGCAGCAGCTCCTCCACTTCCTCATCCTCCTCATCTTCCTCATCGTCATCCTCATCATCCTCTTCATCATCAGAATCCTCCTCTGAAGAAGAGGAGGAGCAGCCAGCAGCCATTCCCTCATCCTCACCACCCTACAGAGAAGTCCCAGAGCCCCTTCAAGCACCTGCAGAGAAGCCTGAGCCAGACAAGGCTGTAGGCTCCCCAGCCACACCCCTCCCTGAAAAGGAGACCTCTCCCGCAAGGCCTACAGGTAGGTGGCATGGGTCTACTGAAGGATCTCTGTGTGTGTCAGTGTCTGAGAGAATGGTGACCCTACATTACTTGCTTGAATTTGTGCAAGAGTGTGTAAACACAAAACCACAGTCTGTTGTCATTTCTTTTGGAGACACTTAAGCCTTAGCACTCAAACTACCATACTAAGCGATTTGCCAGGTGGACCTAAGTGTTTGGCTGCTGATAACATAAAACAGGGAGATCTCCTCCCAAGCAAATTAAGGAGAAAAACCCCAAATTTAAAGAACTTGTGCTAATTTTTCTTAAGCTTATAATGGTGTAGTATACATATTTCGGCAGTTATGTGTATGAGTGTATTGCTTGGATGTATATAAGTGCACCTGTGTCGTACAATGCCCACAGAGGTCAGAAGAGGGCATGAGATCCCCTGGAACTGGAGTTACAGCCAGTTGTTAGCCACCATGTGGGTTCTGGGAATCAGACCCTAGGCCTCTGCAAGAGCAGCCAGTGCTCTTAATCACTGAGCCATCTTTTCAGCCCTCAGTGGGCAAATATTAACACTAAATTGGAACTTAGTTCTCCCTTGCTTTCCTTTGAATATCTGTATGGTCCCTTGTTATTCTGTAGCATGTGGATATGATTTATCCTGCTGTGAGTATTGTTCATTCATGCAACAGAAGATTATTGAGCACTACCACTCAATAGCAGGTACAAGGATTCAATGGTATGTCTAGCAAGCACTGCTCTCACCCTCAGGATGCTTACAGTCTACAGGGAGAGACAGACCAGTTAAGCAATAAGTGCATGAGAAAGCCTCTATTTCAAACTGATAAATACCATGTAGGAAAAGTACAAGGAACTCAGAATCCTGAAGGCATCTGTAACCCTGGGAACATCTTGGGAACTGCTGAAGCACAGTTGGGCTGAAGTCTGAGTAAAGCTGACAAAAAGGCAGGAATTAGCAGATAGTAGGCTTTACCTGAGGCAAAGGACAGCAGGGTGGAAGACCTGGACGAAAGCTAATCTTATGGTAGGTAGAGAACTACAGGTGGTGGGTGGCCAAAACTGTAGGAATAGGTGAAGGCCAGTCCATGCCAGATGCAGAGGCCATCTTAGTAATTTGGTCTTTGTCTTGAGAGCAGTAGAAAGCCATGACTAGATTTGTGATTTGAAAAGATGCAGTACAGAGAGGAGTTGGAGAAGGACCAGTGATGCAGAGAGACTACTGAGTCTGTGAAGAGACGGGGGTGGAGGAAGGAGAGCAATGCAATAGCTAGACTAAGATAGGCTGTCCCTCTGTGGAATCAAGTAGGTTTTCACAACATACTTCAGAGACACATGCACTCCCATGGAGCTCTCCTATGGACATCACTAAGAAGCTATGATTCAAGAGACGGCTACAAGAAGACCTCGTGCTGATGCAGTGCTCTAGCCTAGACTTGAGGATGAGGAGTTGATCTCTCTTGATACTGCATTAGAAGGCCACTTAGAGGGTATCATTCTTCCATTCTGTGGGGTTGGAATGAGAGAGATGTGGAAGACGAGAGACAGGAGGTAGGATAGCATTCAGAGGGATGCAGGTAAAGTAAAAGTAAGGGCAGAGGGCTGGGGAGAGCCCAGGTAGCAAAGTGCTTGCCACAAAAGCTTGAGCACCTGAGTTTGATCTCCAGCACCCACATAAAAAGCTGGATATGGTGCCTTGGCACTTGTAATAACAGCATTGGGAGACAGCCCCAGGCCTGAATCCTAGCTCAAAAAATAAGTGGACAGTTCCATGTGTACAGAGAGAGAGAGAGAGAGAGAGAGAGAGAGAGAGAAGGGTGTGGACCAAAGAAGGTGGTTATGGTAAAGTACAGGGGGAGTGGAAGGTAGGGGTAAAGACATGTAATAGGTCACTTGGTAATGCTACTGACCAGGAAAGGAAATTCAGTAAAGTGACCCAGGATTAAGAAGGAAAGTGGCGAGTTGGAGTTGGGTTAGAATGCCTCTGGACCTCCAGGTAGAAATCTTGGCAGTTGGATTACAGATCTGATGCCCTGGGAATAACAGGCTGGAAACAAGGTAGATAGATGTGATGGGTGTCTGAGAGCAGTGAGAGCATAGATGTGATTCAAGCTCACTTGTACACTGTGAAGAACATGGGATGATAGAGAAGGAGCCAGAGGCTGAAAGCTCTGGAAGAGGTAGGTGGGCAGAGGGCACCAGAGGAGCCTGAAAGGAATGGGGACAAAACCAGAGAGGGTACACTTTGTATACCAAGCAAAGCACAGGTTTTAAAAGGTGTAAGTAAAGACCAGGTGTGGTGGCACACCACTTGGGAGGCAGGTGTGGGTGAATCTCTGTGAGATCCAGGCTAGATAGGTCCTGGTGGCACCCTGTCTTTAAAAAAAAAAAAAAGCAGGGTGGGTGGAGACTTGTTAACATTGTATGCCCGGCTGAGAGATTCCAAAGACAAAAGCTAGAACACCTTTAGGTCTGTCTTCTATTTGGTTTAGTCTTTTCCCCACCAGTCTTTTCCTCTGCTTCTCCATTCCAGCAGAGTATCCAAACCCCCCAGACTCCTATCTTAGACCTTCTCAAGAAAGGTTCTGGTGCTGCCACCTCGGGTCAGGTGGTTTCTTGGGTCTTAGTGGTTTCAGTTAATGATGGCCCTTACTGAGAAGGGCCTTATTCTTAAAGATCCAAGGACACTAGGAGACAGACTGATTCCCCAGAAAGAAGTAAGTGTTGTGTGGCTAAACAGGTGTCTCTAAAATTGAAAGTGATGGATAAATGAAGGAGCAGAGAGAAATTTGTCTGAAGAAGCTGTGTTGTGAGCAGTTTGTTCCTATAGCCACAGTGGACTTGGTTAGGGAGACCTGCCCCAATATGAGAAGAGGCTGGAGGGCCTTGGCCAAGTCCCTGGGGCTTTCCAAGTGTGGTTGCCACTGTCTGAGACTCCACATAATGCCTGGAGCCTAGGGCACAACAGGTCCAAGGGGTTCTCAAGTGAGGAGCATCACCTAAAGGCTATGGGCAATAGGCTGATCACTGCACAGGCAGACTGGGGCTGCCTGCCTTTTAGTTCTGAGATGTGGTAGAGCCAGATCTGAAACCTCTGAGTCCACAGGTACCCCATTGTGGGATGTGTTCTACTCTTGGTCTTGGAAAAGGACTTGAATTCCCAAGTTTCATGGGAGCCCTTCCTTCCCCAGGTTTCCCAGCTTGGGTGTGCATTAAAAAAATTTTACTTTTTTTAATTGTATGTGTATGAGTTTTGCTTCATATATTAAGTGCACCCATGTCATGCAGTGCCCCTGGGGGCCAGAAGAGGGCATTGGATCCCCTGGAACTAGAGTTAAGGCTGGTTGTTAATCACTGTGTGGGTGCTGGGAACTGAACCTGGGTCCTCTGCAAGAGCAACTAGTACTTAACCCCTGAGCCAGCTCTCCAACCCCTGGCTGTGCATTTGATTTTGTTGGTTGTCTCCTATTGGACTAAAGTCCCCTGAGGTCACTGGAAGTCTGTCTTCAAAGTAAGCTTTCCCCATACTTCATATGCATCAGGCTTAGTATGTGCTTGTTAACTGGATTAATGAGCAGGTGCAAAATCCCATCCTGTTCAGGGACGCCATGGGCATGAGGGAGGCAGGTAGTGTCCCCTGTGTACTCAGTTATGTGTGTATATCAGCTTGAGTGTGCCAGATGGAAGCTGATGGAGAGCAGGGCACAGCTTGATAAAGAGAGCCTGCCCCAGTATAGCTGAGCCCAGGTCTCCTGCCCATGATTCTGTCAGATGAGGTTGTCACTCTGGCCTTTCCCCATGTGCTTCCTTCCCCAGGTCCTACTGAGGAACCACCTCCCAGTGTACCACAGCCTCTCCCAGAGCCACCAGCTGGGCCTCCAACTTCTGCCCCCCGCACAGATGAGCGCCCCTCTTCCCCTATCCCCCTCCTGCCCCCGCCCAAGAAACGCCGGAAAACTGTCTCCTTCTCTGCTCTGGAGGAGGTGCCAGCTCCAGAGCCTCCTCCAGCTGCCCCACTGCAGGTCAAGGCTCCTGGCCCAGTCTCTCGAAAAGTCCCACGGGGTGTGGAGCGGACCATTCGTAACCTGCCCCTAGACCATGCATCTCTGGTCAAGAGTTGGCCTGAGGAGGTGGTCCGAGGGGGTCGGAGTCGGGCTGGAGGTCGAGTCCGATCCACTGAAGATGAAGAGGCTGAATCAGGGACAGAAGTGGACCTGGCAGTACTAGCTGATCTAGCCCTGACCCCAGCCAGACGTGGGTTGGCCACCCTACCCACTGGTGAGGACTCAGAGGCCACAGAGACCTCAGATGAAGCCGAGCGCCCAAGCCCTCTGCTTAGCCACATCCTCTTGGAGCACAACTATGCCCTGGCCATCAAGCCCCAACCTGCCATGCCAGCACCTCGCCCCTTGGAGCCAGCTCCTGCCCTTGCTGCACTCTTCAGCTCCCCAGCTGATGAAGTTTTGGAGGCCCCTGAGGTGGTGGTAGCCGAGGCAGAGGAGCCAAAGCAGCAGCTGCAGCAGCAGCAGCAGCAACCAGAGCAGGAGGGGGAAGAGGAGGAGGAAGAGGAAGAAGAGGAGTCTGAGTCTTCGGAGAGCAGCAGCAGCAGCAGCAGTGATGAGGAGGGGGCTGTCAGGAGGCGCAGCCTTCGTTCCCACACGCGACGCAGGCGGCCACCACTCCCACCCCCACCCCCACCGCCTCCTTCCTTTGAGCCTCGGAGTGAGTTTGAGCAGATGACCATCCTGTATGACATTTGGAACTCAGGCCTGGACTTGGAAGACATGAGCTACCTGCGGCTCACATATGAACGGCTGCTGCAGCAGACCAGTGGGGCTGACTGGCTTAATGACACCCACTGGGTCCATCACACAAATATCCTGAGCTGTAGATCAGCCTGTCTGCATCAAAGAGCAAGACACGGGGCTCGTGTGGGGGCAGCCTTCTATGGGGTCACAGGGCAAGGAATGTCATCCTTGGGTTGCTCCTAGGCCTACACTGGTCTCCTTTCTATCTGTCTCACTGTGCCTTGTTTAGCCTTAGGGTTTCCTAAAGACTGTGCGGCTGTCTTCCCTCTGCCTTGTGTCTCTTTTGGCAGAAAAGGTAGTCTGACAGGATGTGATGGCACATGCCTTTAAATCCCAGCACTGGCAGGTGGATCTCATGAGATCAAGGCCAGCCTTGTCTACAAGTGAGTTCCAGGCTAGCTGTGGCTATCTAGTGAGACCCTCTCTGAAAAAAAAAAAAAAAGGAAAGGTAGGCAGTGTTCTGACTTCTTGCATCTGTCTCCTGACACCAAGCATGCGCGTTAGCTTGAACCAGCCATGCTCTGGACTGGGGCTGGGGTGGAGAGGATTCATGGGTTCTGGGGGACTGACTAGTCCTGTTCTCTTCCTTAACACCCTGCACTCACCAACTTAAGCACTCCAAAGCGCAAGCGGCGGCCCCAAGATGGGCCCCGGGAGCATCAGACGGGCTCTGCACGAAGTGAAGGTTATTACCCCATCAGCAAGAAGGAAAAGGACAAGTACCTGGATGTGTGCCCTGTCTCAGCCCGACAACTGGAAGGCGTGGACACTCAGGTAGTGCCCCGAACCCTCACCTGCTACTTACTTCCATTCTTCCCAGCTACTCACCTCCCTGTCTTGGTCACAGGGAACTAACCGGGTGCTTTCTGAGCGACGGTCAGAGCAACGACGGCTACTGAGCGCCATCGGCACTTCAGCCATCATGGACAGTGATCTGCTAAAGCTAAACCAGCTCAAGGTCAGGAAGGGGGCCTGAAGGAGTGAGGAGGCCAGTGAAAAAACTAAAGGAGAGCTGCCCCTGATGGAGTCCTGTGGTCCTGGGGTAGAGGTGGGGTAGGTGGGAGGTCTGCAGGAACGGGAAGGAATTAGGTTGTGGAAAGCATCCAGCAGCGAGAACTACCTTGTCTCCCAGTTCCGGAAGAAGAAGCTCCGATTTGGCCGGAGCCGGATCCACGAGTGGGGTCTGTTTGCCATGGAACCCATTGCAGCTGATGAGATGGTGATAGAATACGTGGGCCAGAACATCCGCCAGGTGAGGTTCCATTCCCAGTACTAGGCCAGTTGCTGATCAAACAACTGGCTTCTCAAACAACATTGATCCTTTGGACAAAGCCTCATTAGCACCACTGCACCCAGCTCTTAAGACTTACCCAGTGAAACCAGGTGTTAGTGGTCAGTCAGTGAACACTGGACAGTACTGACAAAGAATGGTGTTTGATACTACATGAGACATTGGTTGTAGGAGTACTTGACAAGGGACCTAGGATCTCTTAGAGACAATGATGGTCACGCTGAGAGCTGAACGGTCATGATGATGACTCCTGGGGCAGAGCGGGATGGGTGTGAATCCTGTTCAGGATAGCATGTGCAAAGGCCCCAAAGCTGCATACTTTGAGGAAGACAAAGTCAACGTATCTGTTCAGAAAACATCAGTCAGGGCTAGTGATGGTGATGGAAGTGTGAGTGAAGTTGGGAACCATATGGGTTTCAAAGGCTATTCAGCTCTCTGGCTGCCCTGAAAAGAGAGCTAGTGTGGGCTAGTCTAGTAGGGCTTGTGGCAGGTCGAGGGCAAGGTATGGATGAGGTAGTGGCAGCAGAGGTGATAGGAGTTTGTTTAGCCTATGGCCTCAAAGTGGTTGAGAAGACCAGACAGTTATCTCAGGGCACCACCATTAGCCTCTAAGTGTGGTGGTACTGGAGAGATGGGAGCAGCAGGAGGAATGGAAGTGTGATCAAGATCTGTTCCAGTGCAGATGTGAGGTTTGGGGCCCCAGAGACATGGCTGCTATCCAGCAGCCTCACTAGGGTGGACTTTGGCTGGAGATGGAAACCTGGGAGGAGTCCCACTAACAGAGCTGATGGCTAGAACTTTGCAAAGGGTGAGGTCAGGCAGAGAGTGCAGAGGCTGTGTTGCCTATTTCTTGAGAATAGCTGCTCCTTGCTGAACAAGCCATGGTCCTAGCCCAGAGCCTGCCATCTGCTCTCACCAGCTGCCCAGTAGGTGCCTGTTAGGAATAGTCCTAGGAAAGATGGATAGGGTTCAGCTTATGATGTGTCCCACTGTCATTTCAGAAGCTACCCCCATCTCACATTGTACTGTAGGCTCCATTATGACCAGGCAGGCAGATGCTAAAGGAGCCAGTGCTGGTTTCCCCAGAATCCTCTTATGGGTGACTTAGAGTTAGGATGGTTGGGAGCACAGGTGGAACTACAGGCCCAAACCCAATCGGCATGACCTCAGGAGCTGGTCCATGCAGGGGCTGAGGTCTGTGACCTGCGCATCTCACCCTCCCTAGATGGTAGCTGACATGCGGGAGAAGCGCTATGTTCAAGAGGGCATTGGCAGCAGCTACCTTTTCCGGGTGGATCACGATACCATCATCGATGCCACCAAGTGTGGCAACCTAGCCAGGTTCATCAACCACTGCTGCACGGTGCGCTGAGGGTCGGGCCGGGGATCGGGTGGGCAGGAATGAGGTGGCATTGTGGCTTACACTGCTCCCTCCTGCAGCCCAACTGCTATGCCAAGGTGATCACCATCGAGTCTCAGAAGAAGATTGTCATCTACTCCAAGCAGCCCATCGGCGTGGATGAGGAGATCACCTACGACTATAAGTTCCCCCTGGAGGACAACAAAATCCCATGTCTCTGCGGCACCGAAAGCTGCCGTGGCTCCCTCAACTGAGGTGGGGCAGGACTCATGCCCTCACCCCTATTTATTCCCCTTGGTGCCCTGAGCTCCCAGCACCCCCAGCCTTAGTGGGCTCAGCAGGACCCACGTGCCCCTATCTCGATGGCATAGGGATCCTGAGCCCAGCAAGGGAGCTTCAGTCATTTCTGTCTCCCCCATCACCCTTGCCCACCCACCCCCTATTTTTTTTCTTTACGGAGAAGAAGCTGTAAATGTTTTGTAGCTGCCAGCAGCTGTTTCCTGTGGAAACCTGGGGTGCCGGCCTGTACAGATCTATTCTTGGGGGGTTGCATAGCCCTCTGCTTTGTGTTAATGGGGACTTCCCCGTCTGCCCTACGTGCACCCCTCCCCAGTTTAGGGGACCTCTAGGGGCAGTGGCCATGTTCTCCCCCTGGGGGGGGCCCTGGGCCCCCAGTCCTGGGGACTCTGTGCCTGGAACCCTGCCTCATCTGTCCCTGCCAGACCCTGTGGGTCACCCCTCCCACCTGGTATCCGGGAGCTCTGGTTCAACAGGCCAGGTTGGTGGGGGGCAGGCCCTTGTTGGGCTGGATTGTACATATGTTAATAGTGAAAACCCAACACCACATTTTTATAATTGTGATTAAACTTTATTGTACAAAAAATGCTTGGTCAGTGTCTTTGGGGAAGGGCAGGCTGGGATAGGGGGTTGAGGACACAGCAGGGGAGACAAGATGGAAAATGAATGGCCTGGTTTGGGGTGAGTAGAGGGGCTTTCAAGTAAGCCCAGACCTATAGACAGGACCGCTGCTTTGGACCCACCACCTAGCAGGCTGTGGAGCTGGCCCAAGATCTGCCTTCCCCTCCCTTCTCAGAGCCACAGCAGCAGCTGGGCCTCCAGCCTACTGGGAAACCCAGCAGGAGGGAAGAACTAAGGTCATGCAACAGTGATGTCACCCTGTCACCTCTATCCCATTGTCCCCAAATCCCTCAGCACCACCTGGGCAGGTTGTCTTATGTATCCTCCTCAGCCATGGAGAGTGGATTGGCCACCAGGGGGCACTCTGGAAAGAGCATTCCCTACCCCTGCCCCCACCCCCCACCCTCAGGGGTGGAGGCTAGGCTGCCCTCCTTCCTGGAATGGGCCTGGAGGGAGGAGGTGGAGCTAGCGGAAGGAAGGAAGCTTGTGTGCAGCTGGCCAGCCTGGTACACAACCTCTTGTGGCCAGTTTGGGCTCCCTGGGACTGTGGCTACAGGTAGGCAGAGATGATCCTGAGCCCCAGGTGGCCCTCTCTTAGTCTCAGCCCTTCCCACTTCCCTATACCCTTCCTATCCAACTCCCTGCTTCTTACCCTCCTTTATCACCCCCAGACCTTTCCCCACCTATCTCAAACCCTAACCCCTTCCCGAGTCCAGACTCTTTTCGTCCTAGTGACTCAGCAGTTGGCAGGGTCAGAGGGCAGGTAGCCTGATTGCCATAGCTGCAACTTGCAGGATCGACCACACCTCTCCCACTTTCCTGCTCCCATCCACTAGGCCCCTTCTAGGAATAACAGGTGGCTGGAGCACGTGGCATCAGGCAATTCTGGTGAGTTACATTCTCTTCCCACAGCTGGGCATGGCAGAATCCATACAGGCCCCAATGCTGGTATACCTGGTCACAGGTGGCTGTGGCTTCCTGGGGGAGCACATAGTGCGAATGCTGCTGGAGCAGGAGCCAAGGCTCCGGGAGTTGCGTGTCTTTGACCTGCACTTGAGTTCCTGGCTGGAGGAGCTGAAAACAGGTGACTGGAGTGGGCAATGGCATGAGGCGGGTATGGTGCCTCATCCCCTCCCAAACTGGGATGCCCCCCTCCTTGTGGAAAAAATGATTCTTGTTTCTGTGCTCCAGACCACACGATGGGATGAATGAGTCACTGAGAATGTGTGGCTCCCAACAGTACGGACCAAACCCAGCAGCAGCTGGCTCATGGCCCCTGCTCTAACACTCTCGGCCTCTCCACCAGGACCTGTGCAGGTGACTGCCATCCAAGGGGACGTGACTCAGGCCCATGAGGTGGCAGCGGCCATGGCTGGAACGCATGTGGTCATCCACACAGCTGGGCTGGTAGACGTGTTTGGGAGGGCCAGTCCCAAAACTATCCATGAAGTCAATGTGCAGGGTGAGGTGCTAGCTACCTGTTCTTATCCTATACTCCCTAGTCAATGGCCTGATCTTGTCTGTTTGTTCCCCACCCCCTTTTAATCTCGACCTTGTGATTTTTCCTGTGACAACTTACCCTGTCGATAGCCCTGCCCCTATGCCACTGCTTAGCCCTGCCCTTATGCCCCTGCTGTCCCTCCCTCTCCCAATGTGCAGTGGTTCTCCCTGAACCTTGGGTAGAAAGGAAAAAGATGCTGAAGGAAGAAGCCACAGCTTGCGCGCATCCCTTCCTCCCACAGGCACACAGAATGTGATTGAGGCCTGCGTGCAGACTGGAACTCAGTTCCTGGTCTACACGAGCAGCATGGAAGTTGTGGGGCCTAATATCAAAGGCCACCCCTTCTACAGGTGAGTTTAGCCCCACTTAATTTCAGAGCCTCTTTCCCCTCAGCACTGAGTCCTTCCTTTCCCTCCACCAGGGGCAATGAGGACACCCCGTATGAGATAGTACACAAGCATCCCTATCCTTGCAGCAAAGCCCGAGCTGAGCAGCTGGTTCTGGAAGCCAATGGAAGGAAGGTGAGATGCAAAAATGGGGCTTGGAGTCCTGAAGGCAAAGGCAGAATGTGACCCCCAGGCTTCTTTCATTCATCTCCAGCCCAAGGACCCGGGGTAGAGGGGTGTCCTGCAACACCTGCCTTTTGTGCCCAGGTCCGTGGCGGTCTGCCCCTGGTGACATGTGCCCTTCGTCCCACTGGCATCTATGGTGAAGGTCATCAGATCATGAGGGACTTCTATCGCCAGGGCCTGCGTCTCAGGGGTCGACTCTTTCGGGCCATTCCAGCTTCTGTGGAACATGGTCGGGTCTATGTGGGTAAGGACAGGGCTAGGCAAAGGGAGGCCAAGAGCAGGGTAGAAGGACCTGCTCTGGAGGTGGGCAGAATCACAGATGTGTGCCTGGTTCTACAGGGCTCAGGTAGACAATGATTACTGGGCATTTTCTGCATGGGTTGCAGAGGAGAGTATCCATGCAAGCTGAGAGAGCTGACATAAAAAGTATGTCACATTATTGAGACTGGTTCAAAAAAAGGGGGGCAGGGAGGGCTGAATGTAGTTTACATAGTGAGTTCCAGGCCAGCCAAGGCTACACAGTGAGACCTTGTGTCGAAACAGAAAACAAGCATGTCATAGGTCATAGGTTATGCAGAGGACTGCACCAATGGAGCAGCAGCTCCCCAGAGGATGGGGGGAAGAAAAGGGCAGCATCAACACAGGCCTGAGCAAAGCAGCTACAGGAGGGCCAGTGGCTGCAGGGGCTGAGGGAGAAGCAATATTGACCAGACTGTCATGAGATATGGGCAGCATCTGCATTAAGTCCAAATAGGGGGCAGCTGGTGCATGGGCCAGACCAAGGGCCCTCAGTGCATCTCCACCTCCCTCCCTACTGGTAGGCAACGTGGCCTGGATGCATGTGCTGGTGGCCCGAGAGCTGGAGCAGCGGGCAGGACTCATGGGTGGCCAAGTGTATTTCTGCTATGACAAGTCACCCTATAAGAGCTACGAGGACTTCAACATGGAGTTCCTGGGTCCCTGTGGACTTCGGCTGGTGGGTACCCGCCCACTGCTGCCCTACTGGCTGCTGGTACTGCTGGCTACCCTCAATGCCCTGCTGCAGTGGCTGCTGCGACCACTGCTGCTGTACACACCTCTGCTGAATCCCTACACGTTGGCTGTGGCCAATACCACCTTCACTGTCAGCACCAACAAGGCACAGCGCCATTTTGGCTATAAGCCTCTCTTCTCATGGGAGGAGAGCAGGGCCCGCACCATTCTCTGGGTGCAGTCCACGGAGGGTTCAGGCCAGTGATGGTAGACCCAGGGCTTGGAGGCCATTGTAGCACATCACCCAGGTCCTGCAGTCACAACCTAGATAGGGAGAGATGGCTGCCTTCTGGAGCTGGAGGCTCTAGTGCCCTCCACATTTTAAGTAGACAGGCCCTGCCCCTGGGCTGTGTTCTAGGGCAGGGTTTGGGGACAGAATCATCTTTTGGTCTCAACCTGGGCTTTCCATCTAGTTGGCAAGGAACTGATTCCTGAATAATCTCACTACCCCATCCTACTTCTGGCTTCTCAAGCAGGAAGTGGCAAAGATTCCAAGGGCTCATATTGGTCTGCTGAGGTCCAGGCACCATCTTCAGATCTGCCTCCCCCCACATCTCTGGCTTTCCATCAGGGGTTATAGTCCCATTATGTTCTTTAAAAAGTGTATCCCCTTTGGACGTTTATCTTTTAATTTGCTTTAAAGAAAGCTGAGGAAGTCGGTGCCTTTCTGTCTTGCCTCTTCACTCAAATTCAACTCCTGTGATACTGTTAGCTCTCTGCCTGAGGATGCCAGTCATGCTTACCTAGCCTGGATTAAAATCCTTGTCCGAGCCTGTGTCTACCTGTTGCCCCCTCCTCCCAAGAGTCTTCCCCCCACCACGGCGCCCATCCCACGTGGGGACAGAAGGAAGTGAGCACACAGCAAGCCCGCTGTTGGATTGGTTGCTATTTCTCCGTCCCGCAGGGCCCAACCTGGCCCAGGTTGGGTTTGGGGGCTCTGGGGACAGGACATGCAGGTCTGGGGCGGGGGTGGGCAGAATTTCCTGTATTTTATCCATTTGCAACTTGATCACCAATAGAGAGAAATAAGACTCTGAGGGCTAACAGGAGGGTGGCCAGGCTCTGGGCCCCCAGCCAGACCCCAGGAGTCCTGTCCCCTCTGGGGAGGGGAGGGAGAGTGCTCTAGAAACCAATGGAGAAAAGGAGAAGGGGACAGGGGCTCATGTCAGCAAACACAGCTACATCACATGACACGCCAGCGACACAGAAACACACCAACACACACAGCTACACAGCAGGGAAAAGGGTAGGTTGGGAGAAGGGAGCTAGGAGCCAACCATCTTGTCCTCTGTGGGGTGGGCTGGGGCAAGGTGAGTGCATAGAACACATCATGTGTACACGCTCAAGGCATGACAAGAGCGTGCACTGACCCACAGGCACATGAGATGGACACGCAGTGTGCTTCGTAAGAGGCAAGGAGAGGGAGAAGGGGGGAAGGGAAGCACTGAGCCCTGGCCGAACCTGGGACCACCAAGGGAACACTTGGCTTGATGGTTGTAGGTGTGTGGAGGGTGGACAGCACACGCTTGTCTGAGAACATGCAAAAGACACCAGCCCCTAGGCAACTCTTCAGGACACACATAGGGACAGCAGCCAACAAGCAAGTCCATCACGTGATGGATAGGTCTTGTAGAAAGCTGGGACACAGCACTCTCAGGAACTGCTCATCCACCTGAGGCTCAGAGGTGGGCTACCACTGGCTCAGGTGGTTCAAAGAGGCAGGAGCAGCATGCCAGCCACAGCCCTGCCATTCCTGTGAACACCATGGCAGGGGGCTGCTGGAAACACTTAGGTTAAAAGGGGGTGCTGGCTGGGCAGAAAGAAGAAGGGGACTGGAAGTTGGGGCCTGCCTGTTCTGTCATCTCCAAAGGAGCCTAGGATGGGAGCAGGAGGGCTCTGGGCAGACTCTAGGCAGACTCCTGTCCTGCAGAAGATTATTCTAGAAATGAGTAGGCAGGCTCCCTCCTCAGCACAGTTAACCTGGGCGCTTCATACATGTACAGAGACACACACACACACACACACACACACACACACGCCCAACATGGCATGGCAACCTCTGTTCTGCACACATACACCCCAGTCCTTCACTCAGAACACATTTATGCCCTACTCTAGGGCAAGACACATATATCTGTGTGTTCCAGCTACATGTTCATAGGCCATGGAGTTGGGGACTTCTAGCACTGCCCTTTATCCCATATACCTCTTGCTTGCCATCAAACAATCCACAAACTGCATAGTTCTCCACACAATGGGAAGACTTTTCTTCGCCACCAGAGAACAGGCCTCTTCTCACCCTCCATGTCACCCTTCTCTGGGAGTGGCCATGACTGATGTTTCAGCAGCACAAGTGTCTAGCGGACAGGTCCAAGGATAACCCACTCCAGTATGTTTGAAATCAAGGTTCCTAAACTCAATTTTCCTAAAGCAGAGACTGGAGGATCAGATAGGGCAATAAGGACAAACAATGGCTTCTCCTTTTTCTGAAGGGAGTTTGAGAGGCAGAAGTGGGCAATGCTCTAACTTTCCGTCTGTCTGGAGCAGCCCTTGACATCTTGCCTCATTACTTCCCTACAACAGTCCTTTCAGGAGACAGTCATGTGCAAATGGGTGTGGCATTTGAATGGGCACAATGCTGTATGTGTGAGTGCACCAGTGTGCATATGTGCACCTAGGTGTGGTTGCCTTCATGGAACTTCCTCACTGAAGTGTGCTAGCTGTCTCAGGCTCAGTACTGCCCTTGGGCCTAAACAGAGAGAGGTTAAGAATCTGGGCATGTGTCCACAGGGCTTGGAAAGTGGCTAGGTAGGATGTTCCACCTGTACAACGATGATGTAGCAGAACTGGGTGTGGTGGCGCACGCCTTTAATCTCAGCACTTGGGAGGCAGAGGCAGGCGGACCTCTGTGAGATGAGGCCAGCCTGGTCTACAAAGTGAGTTCCAGGCCAGCTGGGGCTACAGGGAGACTATGTCTCAAAAAGAAAAAAACAAAAATGTTGATGTAGCAGTGTGTAGAGCCACATCAGATGTTGGTCAGCTGCTCTGGGAAAGGGGGAAGGAGCAACTGATCCTGAAGAAACAAACCTGGATGGGGTACATGTCCTTAAAGATGTGTGTGTGTGTGTGTGTGTGTGTGTGTGTGTTACACAGGGGCAGAAACACTATGTAGAAAGTCCTATGGATGCATACATGTCCTACTCCAGGTAACTTAGAAACACAGGTATCTGTGATGTGCCCACCCAAAACTTGTGTCTGGTCCACAGAGAAGAGGCTGTCTGAAGAGAAAACACACACACACACACACAGTCTCCGGGGCATGATGCAGCCCCTGGGAGTAACTGAGCCGGGAGAGTTTGTTCTACAATGTATGGGATATGCGCCAATGTCTGGTTTGTTCTACAATGTATGGGATATGCGCCAATGTCTGGGCCTCTCTGGACCCTCTGAGGATGCACTGCTCATCCACCTCCTGCCCTGTTTGTAGCAGATGGGAGGAGGTGGCAGTGGAGGAACTGCTTTTGCATTAGGTTCACACACTCATAAAATAATTCCATGGACACACACACCACACCTATTCACAGAAGACAGGTTGGGGCATGGTAGGTTGCCATGTTATACTTGACCACAGTCTACACAGCAACCCAGGTGGAGAGGGAAGCTCAGACCACACAGAATGGAGGTGGTGGCAAGAAAGAATCAGGGTATCTACATACATCTACACAAGTACACACACACTGGGGTGTCCACACATCTTGAGCATGTCCTGGCGGCATGCATGTTGGTGTGCATGTGTGATCACGCCTGCTGCTATCTACGTGCAGCGAGGTGGGGGGGGGTCCAAGGCAGGGTGAGGGCCAGGGACTCCAGGGTCTGCTGTGAGGGTGAAGGGAGGTAGGGCTGCCTGGGTCTGTTTGGGGGGTGAGCTTGGAGCAGGGGATAGAGTAAAAGGGTGGTGGGGGTATTGCTCCCGATGTGTGGGAAGGGTTCTGGGAGAGAGAAGGGTGGGAGGCCCTACAAGCCCAGTGTCCCCCCAATGGATGACGCCAAGACCACCCCCAGCACCACACAGCAAATGATGATCATGATTTTCTTCTGCAGGTAGAAAGGTGTGTGTGTGTGTGTGTGTGTGTGTGTGTGTGTGTGTGAGAGAGAGAGAGAGAGAGAGAGAGAGAGAGAGAGAGAGAGAGAACAAGACAGATGAGGGGAGAGTTTGGGGTGTGAGACATGAGGAAAAAGAGGGGAGAGAAAACAGAAACAGGAAGAGGTCAGAGTCAGAGATAAGGCCTCTCACCCATTTTGTAACTGCCTCACCCACCCGCTGATCTCTTAGCCCCGTGCCCCAACAGGCACCCTCCCTGGCTTACCCTACGAGCCTTGCTCTGATATTTCACAGCTTTCTTGGTGTCGGACACAGCTCGCTCCACATAGTCCACGGAATGCTCCACATTGTATTCGATGCGGTCGATCATCTCACCCTGCAAACAAGGAGGTGTGCAGAGGGACGAATGGGGGCTGGGTAGGAAGCAGCAGATTTGGGGCCTAGAGAAGGCTCCCATAGCAACATGGCAAGGCCTGTACCTGGCTCTCCACAAGCATGGCCATGTCCACAAACATGTCATGCAGCTCACGGATGCTGGTTTCCAGTTTGATGATTTCGTTGTGCCTGGTCTCGATCTCGTTTAGTGCCTGCTTTGTCATCTGAGAGTCCATTTTGATCTGGGGCGATGGAAGGAGGAAAGGGCTGTTATCACTCTTTTCCCATGTAAGAGTTTCAGCTAAGCAGCCAGAGGGGTTGGGTTCAAATCCAGTTATTTACTGGCTGCAACCTTAGGCAAATTATTTACCCTCTTTGGACCTTGGTGTCCCCACCTAGAAAATGTGGAACATACCAGTGCCCACCTCAAAAGATTGTTGTGAAATTGAATGAGTTAGTGTGTGTAGCTTTGATTGAACTGAACAGTTCCTGGCACACTATAAGCACTAAAGAGAAGTTCGTCAAATTATAAGAAATACAATTTAGCTGGGCGGGCATGGTGGGGCAGGCCTTTAATCCCAGCACTGGGGAGGCAGAGGCAGGCATATCTCTGTGAGTTCAAGGCCAGGTGGGGCTACAGAGAGAGCCCCTGTCTCAAAAAGACCCAAAAAAAAAAAAAAAAAAAAAAAAAGAAAAAAAAAAGAAAAAGAAATGCAACTTATATGGAGCCCACCACCTTGGCCCAGAACTTCCTGTAGTTCACAAAATACTACTCGTATAGTACCCGGGGAAGAGAGATGGTCAAAGGCAGACAGAGTGATGGAGGAGACACAGCAGGTGGGAAAGTGGCAAGCAAACAGGGAGGCTCAGATGAGAAGGCAGTGTATCCACAAGTTGCCTGGAGCCTGCATGAGATGAGGCAAAATGCACAATGGTCCTCAAGAGGCAGAAGGAGAGATTCCCTCCAACTCACAGTTACAACCTCCCCTGCCAACTCCTGACATGGGCGTTGGCCTCCTACTTAGTTTAGACCTAGGCATCTAGCCTCTCTCTCTTTTTTTTTTTTTTTTTTTTTTTTTTTTGTCTTTTTGAGACAGGGTCTTCCTTCCTTCCCCAGCTGTCCAGGAACTATGTAGACCAGGTTGGCTTTAAACTCACGGAGATCCACCTGCCTCTGCCTCCCAAGTGCTGGGACTAAAGTCATGCGTCACCATGCCCAGCTTCACATCTAGCCTTTCCAAGGTACACTAGGATTCCCTGCTACTCCAGGCCACATACCCTTATTTTCGAAGTAAGGCTCAGGCTCCCTCCCTGCCTGTGTCCTGCTCATAAGGACCAAGATCCTTCAGTGGCTCAGCAAGTGATTTCCCCTCTCCCTGTGTTTGGACTGTTCTCTCTCCCCATCTTCTCACACCTAAAAGCTCCTTCTCCCTCTCTTTCTGACTCTCTGTCTCTTTGTCTTTCCCTCTTAGATTTAAAAAAAAATATGTATCGGGTATGGTGGTGCATGCCTTTAATCTCAGCAATTTGAGAGGCAGAGGCAGGTGAATCTCTGTGAGTTCAAGGTTAGCCTGGTCTACATATTGAGTTCTAGGCCATCTAGTGCTACAGAGTAAAAAACCTGTCTCAAAAACTAACAAAAAATTATGTGTATATGTGTGGGGGTTAGGGTTAGGCTAGGTTATATGCATGTGACTACAGGCGCCCACAGTAGCCAAAGGTATTAGATCCCTGTGGTGGCTTCAGATACAGGCAGTTGTGAGCCACCTGATGTGGGGCCTGGGAACCGAACTTGGGTCTGCTGGAAGAGCAGGATTCACTCTTAACCACTGAGCCATCTCTCTAGCTTAAGCTCGTTTCTTAAGGTGCATCTCAATGACCATTCCTTCAGGAAGTCTTCCTTGACGCCAGTGCTAATAAACCTTCAACCAACACCCAGGGCCTATCTGCAGTTTCCACAGCCCTCAGTCAGCAGATTGTCTCCACTGCCACAGTGGAGAGCCTGTGGGTGGAGGTCAGAGAGTAGCCACCTTGGAATCAACCACCCTCACACAGGAAGACAGGTGGCCTACGCAGAGCTGTACTTGAGGGTGTCTAGCTGGATCACAATCAATCTGCCTAATATTAATTCCACAAAAATCAATTATTCAAACAGTTCTTTGCTGAAAGCTGTTAGACAATTACAGCTCACATTTTACCTGGTCTGCACCCATTTTTCAGAGCCATCTGATCACAGAGGCAGAACTGGAGACAGGACTTGGCAGACCAGGGCAAAAGTCCACAAGGAGAAAGGAGAACTTGGGTTTGGGGAAGGCCCGTCCACTCATACATGACAGGGCAGGGTGGTGTCTGAAATTAAAATTTGTTTTTTTAAAAAAAGTTTCCAAAAATGAGTCATGGAGAATGACATGCTTCAGGCAGGACGCTGGCAATGGGTCTTGTGAGGAGCTTTGTGTGGCTCTTGGGAGGGGAGTCTGGGGTAGACCTTGGTAATGACTCAGGAATGCAACTGTAGAGTCAAATCCTTAGCAGATTATGTCACCTGCTGGCCCAGTTTTCCTTGGCTGTGAAATGGGCTCCCTCATGAGATTGTAGGGAGAATTAAGTGAGTTGTTAGCTAAGTAGGTGAGATGTTAAAGGGGCCATGGTAGTACATGCCTGTAATTCCAGCTGAGGCAGGAGGACTGTGAATTTGAGATAAACCTGGGCCACAGAGGGAGATCATGTCTCAAAAACAAAAACAGAAGCCCCTTGCACAACGTGCTTAGACCATCTGGAACACCACTACTGGCCATTTTGATAGCAGCCCTCTCCCCATGAAATCTCCCAGTGTCTGGTCCAGGCTGTCCACTGCTTGTGATTCCAGGCTGGACTCAGGAACACCTGAATTTGGGAGGAGAGGCAAATGCTTCCCCCACAGATCCCGCCCCGACCCGGGGGCTCACATCATCCGTGAAGATGGCCAGCTTCCCGCTCTCCAGCATATCTTCCAATTCTTCATTGGTCGTAGTTCTGCCGGCTGTGGGGAAAAAGGGCTCCTTGCTCAAGGAGAGGACCTGAGGCGACGGGTTGGGAGAGCAGGAACCCGGGACCCACCCTCCCACTAGCCTCTGGCCAAGTGGCCCCTCAAGAGAGGAACGGGCTGGGAAGAGGTTTGACAGGCCGGGGAGTTAGGGGCACACGCACTGATCTCTAGCTGCCGCTGGATCCGGTCCTTGCAGCGGTCCCGATACTTGGACTGAGTTGCATTATACTCGGTCATTACTTCCACAAACTTCCGCGAGAGAGTGGAGTGCTGGGGAATGGGTGGGGGAGAGAAACACCAGGGAATCAGGGACAGAGACTAGGTGCATGGTGCCGTCCCAGCGCCACCCAAATTCAAAGTCCTACTCCCACGCGCAACACCATCCTCCGCCCATACCCGCAGGCAACCCAAGAGCTGGCGGGGCTCCGCCCTCCGCCCCAGCCCCGCCTAAAACCCCGCCCGCGCGTGGGCTCTCAGGCGCACCCGCTCTAGCCCCGCCTTCTTCCCGTGCGCGGGTAATTGCAGCTGCAGCCTACCTGAGTCTTGCGGATGCGCAGGTCCGCGGAGGAACGGTTCAGCCCCTCTTCCTGCTCAATGCTTTGCTCGATAGCTGTGGGAGACAGGGCGCAGTGACAGGCTGGACACCTGGAGTCCGGGGGCGGGGAGCCGGGGTCTGGGGCTCAGGAAGGGTTGACACCCAGGGGTAGGTCAAGGCCTGAGAGCGATGCCCTGCTCACTGAGAGGACTGGCAGTAGAGCTAGGCTGAGGTATACCTGCAGGCCAAGTACACAATCAGCTGTCTGAAGGGCTTCCCTAAGGCAAGCAAGGGAAAAGACGAGGCTCAAAAGGTCACCAGACAGAAGGGGCTGTTTGCGCTGGTGGAGGGGTCTTGGAAAATGCGACCAACCTAAACTCATGAGGGAATGGCCAGTCCACTACAAAGGGCCCTTTTGAACCCATTGACACGATTTTGTTTGTAGACGGTGTTGTCACACTGCCTCCTGCCTCAGCCTTCTGAGTTGCTGGGACTACAGACAAGCACCAGGGCACCCTGCTACCTTGTGACTTTCTTTGTTTTTCTACCGTGTGACTTTTTTTGGTGGCCACCCTTTCCTTGCAGAGTTCTACAGCTTATGGATGGATGTTCTAACAGAGAAAACTTAACTCTCCTCCTGCCCTGCCTGTCCTGGCACAGACCAACCAGGATTCCTGTTTCTGAACTGTGTACTCCCGACAGCATCATTCAGTCTCTAAGAAAGAGCTTGCAGTGACAGCCACTTCATGATGACGGGAAAGTGCATTGCAGATGATTCCAGGCCTGTTCAATCTTTGACCAGCCTCTGGGCCAGTCTGGAGTGTACCACTTCCCTGTGGCACCCCAAGACTCCTGTGCAAGGAAAAGCAGGCACAGTAACTGAGTGACATTCACTGGTCTAGACACTGGGAGAAGCACAGGGACACAAGATCAGGAATACAGGAATCTGCTGGCCCTGCTGGGTCCTACCGTCAGACCTGGAGCTAGGGCCAAGTCTGGATGGAGCAGTCTTTTACTACATTATACTGACTTTCTACAACAACCCTGGGGGCATAATGATAACAGCGGATATTTCACTCTAGAAACTGGGGTTCAAATGGGTGAAACCCAAGGTCACCTTCACGCCACCAACTGGAAGATGGTAGGAAAATAGGGATTTTTTTTCCAGAGGCCACTTTCCCTGTCTTCTTTCTGGATCTATTTTTTAAAATATTTTATTATTTTTATGTGTATGTGTGTATTGCCTGCATGTAGGTTAAGTGCATCCGTGTTGTGCAATGCCCGAGGGGGTCAGAAGAGGCTGTCGGGATCCCCTGGAACTGGAGTTACAGACAGTTGTTAACTGCCATGTGGGTGCTGGGATTCAAACCCGGGACTTCTGCAAGAACAGCCAGTGTTCTTAACTGCTGAGCCATCTCTCCAGCCCTGGATCTATTCTTTTAAAAAATATATTTTGTTTAGCTGGGCGTGGTGGCGCACACCTTGAATCCCAGCACTTAGGAGACAGAGGCAGGCGGATCTCTGTGAGTTCAAGGCCAGCCTGGTCTCCATAGTGAGTTCCAGGACAGCTGGGGCTACAGGGAGACCCTGTCTCAAAAAGACCCCAAAATTTTTTTATTCATTATTTTTTATTTTATGTGTATGAATGTATTGCCTGAAGATGTATGTAAGTACACCTGTGTCATGCAATACCCGCAGAGGTCAGAAGAGGGTGTCAGATTCCCCTGGAACTGGCGTTACAGACAGTTGTTAGCCGCTATGTGGGTGCTATGAGTCAAACCTGGGTCCTCTGCAAGAGCCGCCAGTGCCCTTAACCCCTGAGTAATCTCTCTAGCCGTGACTGGACCTATTCTTGACCCCCAAACCACAGAGATTTCCTTACAGTCTTCTAGAAAGTGTTCCAGTTGGGACTAGATGGACCCAGAGAAACCACTGAGTCCTAAGCTTATAATTCTCCTGCCTCAGCCTCCTGAGTACTGAAATTACGGGTACATACCACCATGTCTGGCTACAATTTGACTTTTTTGTCTTTTTGAGACAGGGTCTCCCTGTAGCCCCACCTGTAGACCAGGCTGGCCTTGAACTCACAAAGATCCACCTGCCTCTGCCTCCCAAGTGCTGGGATTAAAGGTGTGTACCACCATGCCTGGCCTTGACAATTTGACTTTTATGTTTTTGTTTTTATTTGTTTTGAGACAGGGTCTCCCTGTAAGCCCAGCTGGCCTGGAACTTACTATGTAGACCAGGCTAGCCACAATCTCACAGAGATCTTCCCACCTCTTCCTCCCAAGTGCTGTGATTAAAGGTGTATACCACCATGCCTGGCTGTAACATCTATGACATATAGATTTATTTATGTTTTTGTGTGTGTCTGAATGTCTTTCACATGTGTGCAGGTGTCCAAGGAGAGCAGAAGAGGGTGTTGGACCCCTTCAACTAGAGTTACCGGCAGTTATGAGCCACTAGATATAGGTGCTAGGAACTGAATCCTAGTCCTCTGCAAGAGCAGGTGTTCTGAACTGCTGCTGGGTCATCTCTCCAGTCCCACGTTTTACATTTTGAGGTTCTTTCCTTTTGGGGGACAGGGTCTCATTATGTAGCTCCTGCTGACCTGGAACTTGCTATGCAGACCAGGCTGGCCTTGATCTCATAGGGATCCACTTGCCTCTACCTCCCAAATGCTGAATTAAAGGTGTGTGCCACTACACCCGACTTGAGGTTCTTTTTATGACTTCATATGGAGAAAAATATTTTGTTGTCAAACAAAAGAGCTGGAGAGATGGCTCAGGGGTTAAGAGCACATAGCTCACATCCATGTGTAACTCCAACTCCAAGGGATCAACACCCTCTTCTAGCCTCCATGGGGGCACCCCCACATATATGCACTGACACACACACACACACACACACACACATATACATATAATTTTAAAATAAGAAATAGGGACTGGAGAGATGGCTCAGTGGTTAAGAGCACTGACTATTCTTGCAGAAGACCCAGATTCAAATCCCAGCACCTACATGGTGGCTAACAACTATCTGTAAATTCAATTCCAGGGGACTGGACAACCTCTTTTGACCTCCGCAGGCATTGCACAACATGAGTGCACTTACATCCATACAGGCAATAAATTCATACACATAAAAAATAATAAAATATTTGAAAGTAATAATAATAAATAAATCTTTTCTCTCTCGTTTTTTTTTTTTTTTTTTTTTTTTTTTTTTTTTGGTCGTTTTGAGACAGGGTCTCCCTGTAGCCCCAGCTGTCCTGGAACTCACTATGGAGACCAGGCTGGCTTTGAACTCACAGAGATCTGCCTGCCTCTGCCTCCCAAGTACAGGGACAAAAGGCATGCACCACCACGCCCAGCTATAAATAAATCTTTAAAAAACAGAAAACAAAGGACTGGAGAAGTTCCCAGTACCCACATGGCAGCTAACAACCATCTGTAACTCCAATTCCAGGAAACCCAACAAGCACTTCTGGCCTCTGCAAGCACTGTACATATGTGGTACACTTACATACATGCAGGCAAAATACTCATTCACATAAAATTTTAAAAATAGTAATTTTTTTTAAAAAAAAGAAAACAAGCTGGTAGTGGTGGCACACATCTTTAATTCTAGCACTCAGGAAACAGAGACAGGCAGATCTCTGTGATGTCAAGGCCAGCCTGGTCTACATAGAAAGTTCCGGACCAGCTGGGACTACAGGGAGTAGTCCAAAAAAACAAAAAACAAAAAAGAAACAAAAAGAAAACAAAAGAAATGTTTACAGTTGCTTCCATTTTCCTGCTATACTGATGAGCAAGCTGGGATGGGGCCTATTGGTGGAAGCTGGATTCCCTCCATGTGGATTTGCACGAACACAACACCAGGTCAGGGGTTTCCTAGTGTAGCACACTTACTTTCTGAGTGCAAAATCTTTACAGATTAGTGTCAGAGGCTCACAAATGGCCTCCTCTTACATCCAAAAGGGCATAAAACTTGTGGCCTCAGCTCCCAGAGCCAAGGCTGGTGGTCTTGGGACAGGCACTTGCCAAAAGCTCCTTTTATGCAAAGCCTAGCAATGGGTGCTGTAGGTGCCTGGCAAATGCTTTGTGATGCTGAATTACCATGAGCACATCTCTTTAACACTGCTGTTCCCCTGGCACCAGCAGACAAGGAGGTTCCCAACCCACTGTGCTTTGGGGGGAAGGTGGTTATTACCAGCACCCAAGTCCCTAAATTAGAGTGAATACAGAGCATTTGGCAAGGCCCTCCTGAAAGCATGCCAGCCCCTGATGTCAGCCACACAGTCCAATCTGTCCTGAGCTAAGGATACCAATTCAGAAGCATTTGCTGAGCCCACCTACTGGGTGCTCAGCGTTATGCGTGGAGCTTGTTCAGGACAAATGAGGACTGAACAAAATCCAAACTGTTCGGAAGAGTACATTTTTCTTTCATATGTTCCTTCCTTCCTTTCTGGACTTTTTTGAGATATGGTCTTACTATAGAGCCCGTATTGACCTGGAACCCCCTTTTTTAAAAAAATTTTTTATTGGGTCTGGAGAGATGGCTCAGCGATTAAGAGCATTGACTGCTCTTGCAGAGGACCTGGGTTCGATTCCCAGCACCCACATGGCAGCTACAAACCATCTTTAACTCCAGTTCCAGGAGAATCTGAAGCCCTCTTCTGACCTCCATGGCATTGCACAACATGGGTGGACTCACATACATGCAGGCAATACACTCATACACATGTCAGAAGAGGGCTTCGGATTCCTGCATGTAGGTAAGTGCACCAGTGTCGTGCAGTGCCCATGGAGGACAGAAGAGGCTGTCAGATTCCCTGGAACTGGAGTTACAGACAGTTGTTAGCTGCCATGTGGGTGCTGGGCTTCGAACCCGGGTCTTCTGTAAAAACAACCAGTGTTCTTTTTTTTTTAGTCTTTTTGAGACAGGGTCTCCCTGTAGCTCTAGCTGCTCAAAACTCACTATGTAGACCAGCCTGGTCTCGAACTCACAGAGGATCCACCTGCTTTTGCCTCCGCCTCCCGAGTGCTGGGGATTAAAGGCGTGCATCACCATGCCCGGCAAGAACAACCAGTGTTCTGAACCTCTGAGCCATCTCTCCAGCTTCCCCACTCTTTTTTTTTTTTTTTTGAGACAGGGTCTCCCTGTAGCCCAGCTAGCCTGGAACTCACTATATAGACCTGGCTGGCTTCAATCACAGAGATCTGCCTGCTTCTGCTTCCACAGTGCTGAGATTAAAGGTGTGTGCCACCACGCCTGGCCCTGGCCTGTAACTCTTGATCCTCCTGTCTCAGCCTCCTGAGTGCTGGGATTACAGGTATATGCTACCAAGCCCCGCCGTAAAGCTGTATTTTTTTGATGAATTTTCATGTCTATTGAACTAGAGCTCACTTCCCTGTCTTGTATGTCTCCAAAGAATGTGGATCAAGAGGGCAAACGTGTTTGTGTACTTTGCTGCTGTTTTGGAATCTGGCTCCCAGAAGCCCGTGAACACTTCCTTATGGAGGCCGGTTTTGTCTAATGCAGATTGAGAACTTTCTCCCCATTACAGGATTGCATTTCTCACCTTTCAACTTGGACCGGACCTTGTTTGCTGTCTTTTTGATGTCTGCTGTGAGGTCCTCCAACTCCTGTTTAGTCTCTGGGGGGAGGCAAAGAGAACAAATAAGAACCTGGACAGGACTGAAGCACCCCCGAGCCCCCAGAATTGGCACTCACTCTCGTCCGGGTTGGGAGCCGCCAGGATGGCGCTGTGCTGTTTTTTCACCTGCTCCACATCCTCCGACAGTTTCTCAATGCAGCCTCGGATCTCTTCCACCTATGGCAGGGAATCAGTGGCACCTTACCCAGGTTGGGCCAGCTGAAGGGAGCCAGAAGACTCAACCAGTGCTCAGGGGAATGGCCAGACCCAGAAGGTCAAGGATGCAGGAAAAACGGGATGTCCAAGGCAAAGAAAGTTGCTAGGAAGGGGCGAAGTCCTGGGTACAGGGACCTTGGGGACTCTACCTGTTCAAAGAATTCATCCATAAAGTGGTCTCGATCCACATGGACCACCTCCTCTTCATCATCACTGTCTTTCGCCTGGGAAGCAAAGCAAGGATGAATCCAAGAGCAATCCAACCCTGGTGCTCAAGGGTGGCTCTCTGGCTCTCAGCCTGCCACATATCCATGGATGCTCCCAGTTCTAGGCTCAGAAAAGGGGTCTTGAGAAGGGTCCTAAGCAGGAGCAGGAGGGATGGCAAGGGCACCAACAGTCAGAGCCAGAACTGGGTATCTTGTAGAACAATGGAGGCCAGGGCAGCCAAAAGCCCAGAAACTACCTTGGAGGGAACCAGGCAGAGGCACTCTTTGGGGTGGATATAGCCTCATAGGTTCAGACTCTCCCTGGAAAGAAACATTATTTGAGGCAGTTGTCACTGACTGCTGAATATGGACAAATTTCAATATTTTAACAACCAGCTAAATGTCAGCCTTGCAATAATTGGCTCTGGGCTCCAAGGAGAGTTCTAGAATGGTTTCCCAGAAGCCTTGGACCTTCTTGCCATCTCCTGGCAGCACCTGCTCAGGCCTCAGTTTACTCTCTTATCTTCCTCACTGTCCCCACCCGAACATCCATGTCCCTCATGGAAGATCACACTGCTGCCAATGGCAGGCAAATTAAGAAGGCCCAGTCAGACCCAGTGAGAGCTGGCTGAGCCACACAGGCAGTACTCTGACCCCCTTCACCCCTGCACCTTCCTATTCCCACCCACTCCACTCTGCTGTTGGCAACTCTTCTTCCCCACATAGCTACTCAGCTACTCGCTTTTATCCAGTCCCTTCCAGCCATACACCCACCTACTCTCACTTGCTTGGATTTCCCAGTTGCAACCTGCAGCTGCTCAGCCCTCCACCCTCAGGGCTCAGAGACACAAAGGGATTTACCCACCCACACTGTCATCAGCAGGCAGACCGGTGACACAGACAGAAGAGCTGACACATAGGCACACAGAAATAGGCCCCCACACCCACACAGAGACACATTGACATGTTGACATTCTCGGCACACAGACCCACGAAGGAGCTGCATTCTGACCCGTGGACACAGAGACGTGCAGCCAAGCCCCCAGGACATGGAGGAGGGCACTGCAGACCTGTCCCCCCAGCCTCTCTTAGACCCAGGACTGCATGCCCAACCACAGCTGGGCAGTCTGGAGCCCTAATCAGGCCCTGTGGAAAGTTAGAATGGAAATCAAGACAGTAGCAAAACAGCCAGCTACCTGGAGGTGGAGCCACTGGGACCTAAAGGGGAGGGCTGACAGGACTCCAGAGCACAGATAGGTCCTCCCAGACAGGCTAGGAGTGAACTAGGCTAGGCTCCACACATCCCAGAGAGCCCAGATCAAACCTAGACAGAACCAGATGGAGCCAAGATCAACCTAGATACCAAGAGTGCTTGGGAAGAGCAAAGTGCCAGCAGCTCTGAGACCAGCACAGCCGAGGAGTCCTCTTGCTGCGTGCTGGAAAGCCATGCTTCTGCCCAAACTGAACTCCAGGGTCTCAGAGACCCTGAGAGGACTCTGGCTTCTCTGGCTTCAACCTGACCTGGGACAGCCCCAGGCAGACCTTGGCCTTGTGAGCCCCTGAGAAGGTTCATTTTCAGGATTGACTGGCTTCTTAAGGTGCTTTCAGGCTTCTCAGTCCTCCTTCCTCCAGGGTCAAAAGCCTTCCTCTGCTCCTTCTTTCTGCCTTCACCCACCCACCCTCAACCACTTCACACGGGTCAGCAGAGCCTTTCTGGTCCAGGTCTAGGAACTTCTGTCTGTCTCTTTCCCTTTCCCAAGCCAACTTGAGGACATTGGCCCTAAAGTCTAAAGTTGTTCTTCCCTTAGATTCTTCTTGGAGTATCCAGGCTACTGGTTTACTTGCCCTTGAGAAAGGAAACATGGTAGAAGGCACAAGTATGACTTAGTTTGAATAATAATTACAAAGAGAGCTGATAGCTAAAAATCTTCTCTGTACAAACACTTTTACATTCATAATCCCTTTTGATCCTTACCAGCAGAATCCAGTGAGAAAAGCTGAGTATATATTGGCCCCATTTCACAGATGAGGGAACACAGGGCTAGAGAGGGTAAAAGAAAGTGGCTTGCCCAAGGGCACAAGGTTAATAGGACTAGGACATGAGGCCCAGCTGCCCACCACCTGCCCAGACTTGCCAGGATCCCTCCCCAGCCACCGTCTGCCAGAGGCTCTTCTCTCTCTCGGGCCAGCTGCTCAGGGCTGAGTAAAGTGTTGTGTCCTTCAAACCCAGCCAAATAGTGCTGTTCGCTAGTATCTCCTGTGTCTTCCATTCTTCTCATCTCTTTTAATCTTGATCAAAACTCTGACAGGAGGGAGCAGAGGGAGCAGTGAAGAACATACACTGCTGTTGCACAGGACCTAAGTCCAATTCCCAGCACCCATGTGGGGTGGCTCACAACCTCCTATATCTCCAGCTCCAAGGGGACCTGATGCCTTTTTCTGAGCTCTCGGGGCACCTGCACTCACATGTAAATCCCACTCCCCCTGCCCCTACATACACATACATAAAAATAAAGTGTTTTTTAATAAATCTTTTTTTTCTTAAAGCCCAACAACTCTAAGGAGCTGGTGGCATACACTATAATCCCATAGCACTCAGGAGGTGGAGGCAAGAGGATTTCCATGAGGTGAAGGAAGCAAGTTCCAAGTTAGCCTGGGTTACAGAATGAGACTCTGTCTCAAAAAAAACAAAACAAAAACAAAAAACAAAAAACAAACACACAAAAAACAACAACAAAATCCCCACATAAACTTTGTAAGGACTACTTCAGAATCATGACATTTAAACAGTTTTGGGGTTTTCTTGTTTTTAATGTGTATGAGTATTTGTCTACATGTATTTACATACATCATGCATGTGCAGACCCACAGAGGCCAGAAGAGGGCATTAGATCCCCTAGAACTGGAGTTAAAGACAGTTGTTAGCTGCCACGTAGGTGCTGGGAACCAAGCCCAGGCACTCTGCAAGAGCAGTCAGCGCTCTAACTATTGAGCCATCTCTCCATCTGGTTAAACAGGATTTTACAAAGAACTCTGTGCTGGTCTATGAACGCTTCATATATTTAATTAATTTTTTCTTTTTTAAATTTTATTTATTATTTTTATTTTATGTGTATGAGTATATTGCCTGCATGTATGCGAGTGCACCTGTGTCGTGAGGGCTTTGGATTCCCTTGGAATTAGAGTTAAGGATGGTTCATAGCTGCCATGTAGGTGCTAGGAATCAAACCTGGGTCCTCTACAAGAGCAGTCAGTGCTCTTAACCACTGTGCCATCTCTCCAGCACCTTAATTAAATCTCTCTTAGTCTCTGTCTCTCTCTGTCTCTCTCTCTCATCTCTGTGCTGGGGATGGAACCCAGGGCTTTGTGTATACTAGGTAATACTCTACTATTGAATGATAGTCTCAGCTTTTAGTTTTCTGGGACAGAGTCTTATTGTAGCTCAGGCTACCCTTGAACATGGGATCCTCTTGCCTCTACCTTTCTGAGTGCTGGAGTATATTACTACCAGATTTATCCATTTAATTCTTAAAATAGCCTCCTGAGGTAGAAAGTATTACAGCCCCCTTTTATAGATGAGAAGACTTGAGGCAAAGGAGCCAGAGACTCTTCCCTAGGTCACTGGCTAGAAGGCCACGTCACCACTGCCTTTTGGGCCTTGTATGGCAGTCATGTTTCCCACTCAGAGGGCAGGAAAAGGAAATGAGACAGCAGAAAAATGTGTGTGCTTGGTGAGGGTTGAATGTGAGCCCCTGTGCCTTCCATGTTCCAGATGAGGGGACAGGCTCAGATAGGTTGCCTGAGGCTTCACAACAAGATAAGGGCGGAGGTGGAACTTGAAACTGGGACTGTCAAATCTCAAGCTGTTTCCTATCCATCCTACTGACAGGTGGCAGTCCCTCGATCCCTACCTGGCCCCAAAGAAAATCTCTCTCTCTCTCTCTCTCTCTCTCTCTCTCTCTCTCTCTTCTCCCCCCTCCCTCCCTCTCCCTCTATCCACCCATTCATCCATCTCTCCCTCCCTCCCCATTACCCCTCTCTCTTCCAGGATCTCACTATACAACCCAGGGTAGCCTGAAACTTGTGACAATTCTCTCAGCCTCCTAAGTGTTGGAATTACAAGTGTGAGCCACCATGCCTAGTGTACAGTTCTTGTCTTATGTCACATCACTTTACAAAGAACATGTTTTTATTCCTGTTTGACAGAGGAAGAAACTAAGGCACAGAAAGATTAACTTGCCAGGGTTGGTCAGCCAATGGAGTGCTGGTGGATGGTAAGGCACCTCTTGTTACTGCCCACCAGCTGCTAAGCACCTGGGAAGATAAAAGTGGATGGAACAGAGCTCCTGTCCCCTTCTCAAACTGCCTTGGCCACATGTGGCATCAATCCTTGTCCAGGCCTCCTCAAAGTCCAGGTTTTCCACATCAGAGACAAACAGGAGGGCCTGGTGTGTGTGTGTGTGTGTGTGTGTGTGTGTGTGTGTGTACATGCGTGAGTGCATGCATGCATGCGTGCATATGACAACAGAGTAGAAACATGATTAGAAGGAGACAGTGTGGGCCAGCAAGTCAGTGACCAAAGAGACAGATGGCAGGTGGTGACAGAAACTCTGAAAAGAGGGAGCAGGGTGGAAGAGACTAGAAGAGGGTGACAGAGTCACAGAGGGTGTGTGCAACACAAGCATGCCCACACACACTACCACACACTGCCCACCCGGGGGGCAGGCACCATGTCATTTGATCTAGAGGCATCAGCTCCCCTCCCACACTGCTCCAGCTTCTGCCCATCTGTCTCCGTAGCCTGGGCCTCTCCTCTCTCCCCACCTCCCATGGTCCGGCCTGTCTTTTCATTCTACCTGCCTGCCTAGCCCACCTGCTCCCTTCTTCCTTCACCTAACAAATATTGGTGCCAAGTTACTTCTGGGAGCCAGTTGTGAACAAGCCTGGGAATGAAGGGCCTGCTTCCAAGGTGCAGTGGGGAAGACAAACAGCGAAAAACGAACAGGACAGTGCCTGATTGTAAGAAACAGCAGGAGGAGGGGCTGGAGAGATGGCTCAGTGGCTAAGAGCACTAGTTGCTCTTTCAGAGGACCTGGGCTCAATTCCCAGCACCCACATGGCGGCAACAACTGTTTGTAGCTCCAGCCCCAGGGGATCCAACGCATTGCATGGCACAGGTGTAGTTACATACACGCAGGCAAAACATTCATGCATATATATGTATATGTATATATATATGAGAGAGAGAGAGAGAGAGAGAGAGAGAATGTAGGCAATAAGCAGGGAGATAGAAACAGGTATGGGTAGGGCTTTCATCTAGGGTGGCCAGGGTGACATTTGATCTGAGTCCTAAAAGGGCCAAGAGAGAAACTGAATTCAAGGCAAAGGGAACAGCATTCTGGGCAGAAGCAGCAAGTGCAAAGAACCCAAGGCAGAGACAAGTCCCTTGTAGCTGGAGGATAGGAATCCTCACTAGGGTTCTCTCTAGGTCCCTACGTTCTCTCACAGAACGTCCCTCCTGTCTGCAGGCCAGCCTTTCCCCTTTCCTCTCTTCCTAGTCTCCTTGTCCCCCCTGCCCCCTGCCCTCCTACCCATCCTAGTACTTGTCCTTCCTGTCTTCTCACTCCCCACTCTTGGCACCACTCCAATTGCTTCCTATCTTCTCTCGAGCTCACCCTGGCTTCCTCCGTGGAACAGCTACTCAGCTGAGGTCTTCCAAGGCAGGCTCCACGTCTAGCCTAGTTCACAACCAAAGGTGCTTGGTGACCCCAAGATGGAAAACCCTGGCTCAACACCAGCTCTGCCATCAAGAGTTGCAGGACTTTTGGCAAGCCAATCTTTTTTCTCTGACCCTCAGGTAAACTCCAAAACAAATGGGGGTCATGCCCTGCCCATTGCAGGGGACTTTTACGATGCTCCAGAGAACACACAAGTCACCTGGGAACAGCAATCACAGAGTGTGCACAAGACCCTGTCTAGACACTGTGTGTATTAACTTTAATATTCAACATAATCCTGTGAAACAAGGTACTACTATTACTTCCAATTTGCATATGAAGAAGCTAAGGGACTGGGGATGTACCTGCCTACTATATTTGAGGCCCTTGGTTCAGCCCCCAGGAGCACGAACACACACACACACACACACACACACACACACACACACCCCAAAACAAACCCTCACCCTGAGCACCAGACAGGTTAAGTAATTTGTCCAAGGTCACACATGAAGTAACTAAGTTAAGATATGAGCCCAGATAATCTGATTTCTAAGTCGGTGCCCTCAACCACTGGATTTGAGAACTTCTTGGGAATACTAGAGTCCTGGAATGACAATCAGGCCCTGTGATTAACGTTGCTGAGAACCCTTCCCCAAGTCCCCAAGTCCTGCTGACTCTCCTCCTTGGCTTTAACTTTGGCAGAGAGATCCTCATGACATCTGGAGCTCCTACCCGTCTCAACCACCCCCTCTCAAACCTCCACTTTTCCTGAGCTGTAACTAACACCAAAGCCATTAGCATTTACCCAGCACCCTTAGCCCCAGCCCTCCACACCACTGGACTTGCCTCTGCCTCCGTTACCTGGCTGCGTCCAGCAGCCCCTGCCACAGGTTTCTTTGGGCAGGTAGACCTGCCTCGCTCAGAGGGGCGCTCTCCACTCGTGTCTCTCTCCCTCTCTAATATCCCAGTTCTACTCCCACCTTATCCCACTTTGTTGGGTTTGGGATTCAGGGAATGTTCTTGGCTGCTGGAGATCTGAGTTCAAATTTTATTTCCTCCCTTGCTACCTGGGAAAATTCTTTAACTCTTCTAGGCTCATTTTCCTAAATATAAAACAAGGCAGCCTCTCTGCCTACTTGACGAAGAAGCTAGTGGGACTGATGGGACTGCCATGACAATCTGCTTAGTTTAGACACTGAAGCTACTGGTCTGGGTTCACATCCTGCCTTTTTCTAGCTATGTGACGTTAGACAAGTTCCTTAACCTCTCCGAGCCTCTGTTTCCTTATCTGTGAGATGAGATCATGCTAATACCAGCCTCACAGGATTGATGGGAAGATCAAGATGATTTTGTGTGTATAAAACGCATAGTGTTTGCTACTATCATTTTCCTTATGCAGTAAAATAATCCTTCAGATTTCCTCCCTCAACTGTTAGCTCCTCCTTTCTCTCTACCTGCCAACCTATCTCTACAAGCAGTCACTTGCCTCCAGGTCCCTTCCCCATTTCTCTTGTAAACTTGGGTCCCCACCTCTCCCCAAATTCAGCCCTTGAAGACTCTCTAAAGACAGTGTCCCCACTGTCAAAACTTGTGCCTTGAAGGCTGAGAAGCATAGACCCATGTTGACTGGGCAGCCAGGAGGCCCAGGTTCCAGTCTGAACACACACACACACACACACACACACACACACACACACACATGCATGTGTGTATGTTCGATGACCTTGGACCAATCCCTTCCCATCTCTGAACCTCAGTTTCCTCATCTGTCAAATGGAGTGATAGCCTCCCTGGAAAACAACCCACAGAATCCTGGCACAATCCACTGCATCTGGACAGTGGTCACTGGCCAGGTGAGTACTTGTATTCATAATACCAAATTCCACCATCACAGCAGACAGCTACCTCCACCTCCTTGGGCCCCAGGTCATTCTCCAATGTCTCAGCACCCTCCCTGCCATCCTCATCAAGCCCATTCCAACCCATTCAAAGAGCAGCCTCCTCTGCATCCTCCAGGCTGCCCCCCTCCAGCTCTGTTGGCCAGCCTCTTGGAGCCTGGCCCCTGGCCCCTCACAGCCTGGCCCCTGGCTGCTCCCATGTCCCAGTTCCCCCAGCATTGTGCGGCCTATGTCACACAACCCAATTCTGTGACTAGGTGGCTGGATCTTTCTCTCCTCTCCCACCTCTAGGGTCACCTCCGCTGAGGCCCTGGCCCAAGGGAACTCCATCTCCCCAGTCTACTCTTTCCCTCTCTGTCTCTGAGCAATGCCCCCTCCCCATGGAGTAGTACACACACACACACACACACACACACACACACACACACACACACAGACTCATACTTCATTCCCTGCCAGGTCCTGGCATCCAGTCCCAACCTGTGTCCTTCTCCATGGTAGTCCCCAAATCTGGGTCCTACTGGACCTAGCTTGGTCAATAACCATCTTCAACCTAACTGGCAAACCTGTTCCAGAATGATGGTTTCCCCAATCCTCTCCTGACATTCACTGTCTCCAATCCCCAGGTTAGAACCCAGGGTCCTCCTGGAAATGTGGGCTGCCCGGGCTCCTGAGATCTCTCCTGCCCCCTTGTGTTTTAATGGCCTCCAACTCCTTCCAGCCACTGTCCCCCAATTGCAGGTTTATTGGAGGTATCAGGTGCCTGGAGATGCTAGGGTTTCCTGGCTTCCGATCTCCAATCTCATCATTTGCACCCCACATCTCAACACCTCCCCCACACCATCCCCACACGCTCCCCAAATATAGGGTCCCACTTCTCCCATCCCCAAGCTTACACTCCGCAGCTCCTGAGTCCGATCCTTCATCCTGCGACGGGTTCCTCCTCCTCCTCTTCCTAGTCCTCCCGCCTCTGCTGCTGCTCTCTTCCTCCTACCTCAGTGCTGGAGGCCCGGGTCTGGGGGCGCGGGGTTGGGGGAGGTGCCGGGCCCCCGAGGGGTATGCGGGTGGGGGGCGCGGTGCGGGGGGGGCGAGGCCAGGCAGGGGCAGGGGCCTGAACAGGCTTGGCTCTGCCTGGGCTGCGGTGGCGATGCGGCTGCGGCACAGGGTGGGGTGGAGGGATGCGGGAGCCGAGGCGCGGGGGAGGGGGGCGGAGGGAGGTGAAGAGGAAGGGGGGGGAGCCGGGAGGGGGCGGGGAGCAGGGGGCATGCGCAGCACTCGGGGCTGGGGGCGCTTGGGGCTTGTAGTCCTGGGAGGGGGACTCACGGGAGGGGCACCAGGGAGGCCCAGAAGGCGGGGGTGGGAGCGGGAGGGAAGGGCAAAGCCCAAGAAGCAGGGAAAGATGCTAAGACAGGGAGATGCGGAGGCAGGGACAGAGATGCTAGGCGAACTGCAGGTTGGGTGGAAAGGCAGCGAACTAGGGGAATAACGTGGAAGAGACCGGGTGTATGCACGATGTCTCTGTGAGCCTGCGCAGGACCACCGCCATGTGTGTCCCTGTGTCCCTGGAGGAGACCCTAGACACTAGAAATAGCAAGCCTGACACTGCGTGTGGTTTTTTTGATGTAAGAAGTTAGCCAAGCTCTTGTTTGCTAGGAAGGACATGGAGTTTAATCTATATGCCCTCCCCACCCTACCTGGGAGTGGTCTCCAGTAGTGGGTCTCAGACTTCTCCTTGCCTACCTGCAAGAGCAGGGTGGTCACTGCCCCCTGAGACCTTGTGAGCTGGCTTTTATTTGTTATTTTAATTTTATGTGTATGAGTGTATTGCCTGCATGTATGTAAGTGCACACGGGTCATGCAATGCCCGTGGAGGTCAGAAGAGGGCATCTGATTCCCCTGGAACTGGAATTTCAGACAGTTGTTAGCCACCAAGTGGGTTCTGGGAATAGAACCTGGTCCTCTGCAAGAGCAGCCAGTGCTATTAACCGCTGAGCCATCTCTCCAGACCCTGGTCTGGCTTTTTGGATAGCCCTGTTAAAAATGACATTTATCCTCAACTGGGATGTATCTCAGTGGTAGAGTGTTTGCTTAGCATGCCTGGAAGGCCCTGGATTCCATCCCCAACATCAAAAAGAAAAAGGAAGAAAATGGGGTTGAGAAGGAAGGGAAGGAGGGAGGGAGGGAAGGGGGAGGAGGCAGATAGGTAGGTCTCTTTGTTGGGAGGAGAAATCTTGAACCTAATACCCCTGAAGGTCCAGAGAACCCTACACCCTCTGCTCTTGCAGACCAGACCTTCCTTTCTCTATCTCTTCATCTTAATATTACATCAAGTCTTCCCTTTCCCTGAAATGGGCCTTAGACTCCCAATGGAGCAGGCTTTGACCTTGCTTTTGCCAAATACCCAGTGACTGCCTTGATGCCAGATTCATCAGTGTCATGGCAGAGCTTTACACCACCCCCACGACCTTCAGCAGTATCTGAACCTTGGTCGTTTCCCTGTAGTGAAAACTCTTCCCTCCTTGGCTCCCTGCCCACCTCCAGTCTTACTGCCTCAACCTCTGGTGCTATCTCCCAGACTGCTTCCAGGCCCCTGGTCTGTCCCTTGGGTCCTTCAACATCAACAGTCCCTGGGTATCATCCCAGGTTCTCACTTTTCTTTTCCTACTCTTTAAAATTTTTATATGTGCTAGAGTATTTTGCCTGCATGTAGGTAATTGCATCATGTGTATGCAATGCCCATGGAAGCCAAAAGAGGGCGTTGGAGCCCCTGGAACTGGAGTTAGGGACGGTTGTTAGCCACCATGTGGGTGCTGGGAACTGAACTCAGGTCCTCTGCAAGAGCAGCCAGTGCTCTTAACTGCTGAGCCATCTCTCCAGCCCCTCTCCACGTCTTTATTTTTATTTTTGAGACAGGGTCTCTCACTGAACCTATAGCTCACAATTTCAACCAGACTGGCTGACCAGGAGCCCCTGGGATCTTCCTATCTCCCTGGCCCCAGGGCTTGGATAACAGACATGCTCTCCTTGCATAGTTCTATATAGATGCTGGGGATCTGAACTTGAGTCCATTTTATCCACTAAGCCATCTCCCTAGCTCAGGTTCTCATCTTGATCCATGGCACCTTTCTGCACCTTCATGCCTGTAGTGCCCACATCTGTACCTGTGAGCCAAATCCTTCTCTCTTCAGAGGAAAGCCCTACTATAAGCCTGATGCCAGGAACACAGAAACACAACATGCTATGAGACATGAGAAGAGTCCTACCTATAGTGAGCAAGGCTAGGACTCTGATGAGGGGACCCCACATCTCAGTGGCCTTGACCTCTCTGGAACTGCCTCTTCCTCTGTTTTCCATCAAAGGTGCCATCTCCATCTGCATAGCTGCTCAATGTAGACAGAAGCTGGTGTGATTTCCTCCCCATCAAAGCATTTCTGTCATACTCTGTGTTTCTAACATGTCCGACTCACTGCATGGTAGCTCCCATCAACTTCCCTACAACTGTTATTATCTCAAGTGTATAGATCATCACACTGGGACATCAAAGGATTAAGTAGTGAATCCAAATTCACAAGGTGGGGCTCTCTTTGGCAGCCTCCCCCTCTCTCTTAAATGTTGGAGATTGAATTTAAGCTTGTCATGTGCTGGGTAAATGCTCTACCACTGAGCTACATTTCAGCTCTCCTTTGTAGATTTTGCTTGCAAAGCCCATTCCTTTTTTTTTTTGTCCTTTTGAGACAGGGTCTCCCTGTAGCCCCACCTGTCTTGGAACTCACTATATATACCAGCCTGGCCTTGAACTCACAGACATCCACCTGCCTCTGCTTCCCAAGTGCTGGGATTAAAGGCGTGCACCACAACCCCAGCTTGCCCATCCTTTTTAAAAAAATATATATTTTATTTATTATTTTTATTTTGTGTGTATGAGTGTATTGTGTACATATATGTAAGTATGCCCATGTTGTGCTATGCCCACAGAGCTAAGAAGAGGGCTTCAAATCCCCTGGAACTGGAGTTACAGATGGTTGTTAGCCACCATGTGGGTGCTGGGAACTGAACTCAGGTCCTCTGCAAGAGCAGCCAGTGCTCTTAACCACTGAGCCATCTCTCTAGCCCCTGCAAAGCCCATTCTTTTTATTTTTATTTTATGTGTATGAATGTTATGCCTGCATGTAAGTGCACCCATGTCGTGCAATGCCCTTGGAGGTCAGAAGAGGCTGTTGGATCCCCTGGAACTGGAGTTACGGACAGTTGTTAGCTGCCATGTGGGTGCTGGGATTCAAACCCAGGTGTTCTGCAAGAATAACCAGTGTTCTTAACCGCTGAGCCATCTCTTCAGGCCCCAAAGCCCATTGTTATAAAACCAGTTCCAGCTCTCTGTAACCTGCCACATCCAGTGCTTTCTCCTGGCCTACCCCATCCCCATCACCTCAGGTCAATCTGGGCTGTCCTCACCTCTCTCTCACCTGGGCCACAGGGTAGCATCCTTACTGGTCTTCCTTCTCGAAGGCCATTTCTTTCATGTCCTTCTTACTCCCTGGCTCCTAGTATGGTTATCTTTAAAACAGATTAATATTAACCTGTTGCACCAACACCTTCCAGACCCTATGGCTCCCAGGATTATACTCTAAGCTACTCTAAGGCCTGGTAAGGGCCTGACTGCTGTCTACATCTTCCCAGAAGCTGGCATAGGTCAGGCAAAGGTAAATGCTTACTAAAATCCTGGATATAGAACATGTTCCCTCACATCTTTACCCAGGCATAAAGACAAAGAAAATAAACTCCACAAAATTGGTAATTTTGTCTGTTGTGTCCAATGTTAGTTTCCCAGTGGTCTTGTGAATCCTTACACAGTGTTTGTTAAATCAATGAATGAGTGAAAATGAGATGCAACTCAAATCTGCTGTAGTTCAAAGATGGACACAGGTGTAGATGGTATTCCTGTCATTGTCTGGAATTTACTTTTTATTTGGTGATGCTGGGGATTGAACCTGGAGCCTTGAGGATGCTAAGCAAGCACTTTACCACTAAGTTACATTCTCAAGCCTTATTTTATTTTTTATTTATTTTTATTATTTTTAATTGTGTATTTCTGTGTATGTGTGTCTGTCTGTCTGCTCGTGAGATTATGTATTTGAGTGCAGGTGCCTGTGGAGCCCAAAGGAGTTAGATCCCCTAGAGCTAGAGTTACAGTCAGTTGTGAGCCACCAGACATGGGTGCTGGGAACCAAACTCGTGTCCTCCACAGGAGCAGTAGTAGATGCTCACTCTTTACTGCTGAACCATCTCTCCAGCTCCTTGTTTTTTACTTTTATTTTGAGATCGAATCTTGCTAATTTGCCCAGGCTGACCTTGAACTTACTATATAGCACAAGATGACCTCAAATTTTTGATCTTCCTATCTCAGCCTCCCAAGTAACTATATTTAAAAATGTGTACCAGCGCCAGGTGTGGTGGCACACGCCTTTAATCCCAGCGCTTGGGAGGCAGAGGCAGGTGGATCTCTGTGAATTCAAGGCCAGCCTGGTCTACATAGTGAGTTCCAGGTAAGACCCTGTCTCAAAAAGATTAAAAAAAAGAAGAAAAGAAAAAGGAAAAGAAAGAAAGAAAAGAAAAAATGTGTATCAGACCAGCAGGATGGCTTGGCACCTGGTGCCACCAGATGATCTGAGTTCAATCACTGGAACCTACATGGTAGAGAGAGAGAGAGCCCACTCTTGCAGATTGGTCTTTTGGATACACGCCAGCACGCCAGAATCAGTCAATATTTTAAGGTGTGTGCCCCACACTCAGGTTGTTCTCTGACCTGATGCTGCTTTGGGCTTTGCTTGTGGGGATTGAATCCACAGCCTTGAACGCACCAGGTAAGCACTGCATCACCTCGTATCCCTTAGTGATGTCCAGTTCATTACATCCAGGATTCCCTGGAAGCTACCTAATAATTCACATCATGTATCAATTTACTTTCTGGTCTCTCTTCCTGAGCGACCTTTCTAGAGCCTCAATATGGCCAGGAAGCCCTTGCTCAGAAATGTCCGTGGTCCCCCATTACCTGCTATAGTATGCCACCATTTCTTA